CAAGGGCAAACCCTTCTTTCCAAACACTTGCAGGCAATACCTTCTCTATGGTACAATTACAGTATTTCATGGGAGGTAGCCCCACTGCTGGCTTTGTTCCACTCTGCATTTGCCTTCATGGTTGTATAGCTGTGAACTCATCTTCTGACTTTATTCACCCTGCACCTACTAACACACAACACAGGAAAAGCAAGTAGGACCAGAATCAAGACCACTTCTTTTTGGTAAAAAGCCCACAATGTTACACCAGCTTATCTATAATGCCAAATTGCCCTTTCAGGTGTTATGCAAGATGACCATTTGGAATACTAGGAATATTCACTGAACTACAGCCACAGATGAGGTAGTTGATAGATATGAAGATACTTTACAGAAATCAGCAAGCCTCTCCAACAATACTAACAATATGGGCCTTACAAACTTGCACATCTGCATATCCATGGAAGCCTCCTTCAGATTAAAAGGAAAAACAAAACAAAAAACCCAAAGAAGCAAAACCCTCATACAACAAAAGTGAGTTTCTCACACATCCTTCCAGTAAATCACTGTTGACACTGACCCATGTAAAATGTTCTGGAGGACGAACTGATCAAGAGCAGCCCTGCCAAGGACTTGAGGATTCTCTTGGATGAGAGGCTGGACACAACAATGTGGAATAGGCAGCCCAGACAACCAAACATGTCCTGGGCTGCATCCAAAAACACGTGGCCAGCAAGCTGTGGGAGGGGATTCTGCCCCTCTGCTCCTGTGGGACCCCACCTGCAGGGCTGCGTCAGCTCTGGGCTCCCAGCACAGGAAGGACATGGAGCTGCTGGAGGGAGCCCAGAGGAGCTCCCAAGATGATGAGAGGGATGGCACACCTCAGGCTGAGAGAGCTGAGATTGTTCAGCCTGGAGAAGAGAAGGCTTAGGGTGACCCAGCTGCACCTTCCAGTACCTGAAAGGAGCCTACAAGAAAAATGAAGAGGGACTTCTTACAAGGGTATGTAGTGACAGGGCAAGGGGGAATGGCTTCAAAGTGAAAGAGAGGTTAGATTAGATATTAAGAAATTCTTTACTGCAAGGGTGGTGAGGAACTGGAACAGGTTGGCCAGAGAAGGTGGAATGCCTCATCCCTGGGAACATTCAAGGCCAGGTTTGATGGGGCTCTGAGCAAACTAATACAGTGCATGGCATCCCTGCCCATGGCAGGGTGGTTGGAACGAAATTATCTTGATGTTCCCTTCCAACCCAAGTCACTTTGTGATTCCTCAATTTTTTTTCCTTTGTTATCAACTACACAGGATTAGATTTTGTTAAGAGGGTGTGGGTGTGTGTTTGGGAATTTTTTTGGTTTGGGATTTTTTCAATTCCAATAAACATGTGAAAGGCACTCAGAAAAAAATCTTCATATTAAGTCCAATTAAGAATCATGTTGACACACTATCCTGCTAAGACTTCAAAGGAAACACATTACCACACTAAATAGGGTAGGTCTCACACCACAAAGTTACTGCTAAATTACAAACAGCAACCTCAACTTATTTGGAATGAAATAACCATTTATGAGGGCTCATATGACAACAGCAGAGGGTTTGGCATTAGTTTTGTGGTGGTTTATATTTTCCACTTTAACTTCTGACAAAGGCATTCAAATACTGAGCTTAGTCCAGCCTGGCTTGCTACCAAGTTGGACAAAAGTAATTTAAATTACATAAATGTAAACAGCCTTTTAGAGAAGGCCTGGCAAAGTCAACAAAATTAATCTAAATATTGATACAGAAAGGCAGTTTTTACACCATGATCTTCAGGAAGGAATGTATTTCCTTACAAAATCTGCAGCCCTGCATCATCACATACATGGGACTCAGACAGCACAAGCCATCTTCCAGTCTCAGAGAACTGGGATTTTAAAGAGCTTGGTTTAACAAAAAATAAATCCTTTGCTGATTTAAGATTTTGCCAAGTAATGCAGTGATCTCTGGAATTAAAAGCTGATGACTGAAGGTTAAAAATATGGACAGGTCTGCACACACAAGAGTAAGAATTTAATTAACTGTACCTTTACAGTTTTATCCATAAAATTCTACTGACAGAATTCTGTTTTGCAGCAGGTTACTTTATTCCAGTAAGGTACAGGCACAAGATCAAAATGCAAAAATCGGCTTGAAGCACCACTGAGGAGGAAAAAAAAAACCAAACAGCTTTGCCAGAAAGTAAGGCAGGCACAGGTTAGTTTCCCCTGATGGTCACTGCTGGTTGCACACTGCAGCCTGTGTGTGACAAGAAGCAGAGCTGTGCCAGCCTGTGGGTAACCCTGCCCAGCACATTACTGCTGCCTCACAGGGCATGGTAAACCCACCACAGGCTCCCTGATCCCCACCAGCCTAAACAACTCAGGTTAGCAAAGGTTACTATTGAAAGTGCTTAAGCCAGGACAGCTGCTGAAGCAGGACAGACACACAGACCCTGTACCAGCTGCAGCACCTGCCAGCTGAGAGCCACACTTTGTCCACAGCCAGAACAAACATGGACAAGGTAAGATGTGACACTGTTCTAGTCCTTACATACAGCTGAATCCCTTACTTAAACTTGAGATACTGCTTTTTTTTCAGGTTTTTTTGACTCAAGCATTAGACACAAATTACTTCCTTCATAGAGACTGCTTTACTTCACCCCAAGGAAATTCCAGCAAATTCACTGGCTGCACAAACTTTAATTACACAATATAATAAGCACACAATAAATTAAAGCAAAAATTGAGTATAAGCATAGGGAACAAACTAATCTTATATTGTAAATACGAGATTTCACATTATGGATCAAAGTCACTTTTACTGGATTACCACATTAGCTATAAGCATTCTGCAGCTGTATTTCACAGGTGAGCTTGCCACAATATCAGTGGGGTTTTGTTTTGTTTTGGTTCCCTGCACACCTGTCTGCTCCCCCTGACCTTTAATAACAATACAGTTGTGAAATAATTAATGCTGAAAGGTACTTCTGGAGGTCATCCAGTCCAACCCCTTTTTCCCCAAAACAATGTCAGCTTCAGAGTTACACATGCTGCTTAGGGCTTTCTCTTCACAGACTAAGAGCCTTAAACTGAAAAATTAAGGCAGGCTTTAAAAAAGCACCAAAACTATGAAAACCCCAAACAAAAAAAACCCTCCTATCCCACAATCTAACCTGGGATGTAACTATTCTTAAAGACATCAGAACTCCTATGAAACTTGTTCCATTCAAGAGTATGTTTCACAAGAAAATACAACCAGCAAGAAAACCAGATATATTAATAATTGAAGAGAAGAGTTAAAGCTAGCTAACTTATCTACTGTGAGCTTCTTTCTGTAATAAGCATCTTGATTTGTTGCAGAATGCAGCAGACTTTGCAAGTGGTGTCCAACCATTCAGAGCAGAGCACAGGAAGCACAGAGGCAGCTGAGGACTGCACACCCCTCTGGGTGACCTCAGTTACCTTCCCTGCATTATCACACACGTGCACACATACAGCTGACCACCATCACATGAAAATACTTAGCCCTGTGATAAGAGAGCTTCAGCAATATCTCTGGAGAAAGAGCTACAGAGAGAAGCAGGCAAACATTTCACAGACCTTAAGACTTCGCTCAAACAACTTTACTGTACAAGTAAAGTTGTACAGCAAGGAGCAAGCCATGGGCTAAATGCTCTGTTGGACATCTCATGTCACAGTTGCCAACCATGGACTAAAGGGGGTGCGGAAAATATTCATGGAATTATTTTCAGAAAAATAACTTACAGAAAAAGCCATACAGAATTAGAGTCACCAGATTAACAATCTGAACTGGCACAGAAATTGTGACGTTTTCCCACTGATCAGATACTTCTACTTATATAATGCTGATTCCAAAACCAGGAAGCTGTCATATAGAAAACCACTTGAATTTTTCCCCCCATCTTATTTTTCCATGACAAGTGTGGATGCCACTTTTCGTGCTACACCACTTTCCCAAGTCCACTCTGCTGACAGTAGTAGCTTCAAATGAGAGATTTCACATAAAAATGAATGCCTAACTTGGTTTTTCAAGAATCATGTCCACACACTCGTCTTTCAGTGAAACCACTATAAAGACTTTTTTTTTCCCCTCTTCTCTTGCATACGTTCACCTGCACAGCACACGGCATCTCCTTTATTCCCTCCACAGCCTGCAAACGTAAGCGCATCCTGGAGAGTGCGGCCGTGCTTCTTACACTTAAAGCGATACATGGCAACAAAGAAAAAAATAAAGACTCCACAAAGCCTGCAGCTTCGAAGAAATACTCTACCCAGCGATAAGGAGGAACAGAGACAGGGTCATCTAACCCACTAAAAATAATACTGGGTGTTATTCAGGACATACTGCCCTAATCCAAACAAACCCAGGGATACACCAGAAGGGCGAACCGGCGGGTGATGCCGTCGGCAGGCGGAGTGCCCGGGGGCCTCGGGGAAGCTCAGGGTCACCCCCCGGGAATGCTGAGGCGCAGGGCTCGGGAGAGGGACAGGGAGAGGCGTCGAGGCCAGGCTATAGCGCAACGCCGGGCCCTCCGTCCCCAGCCCTCCCCGCCGGCCCGGCTCGCAGCCCTCGCATCTCCCCTGCCCGCCGGTTCACGGAGCCAGCGCCGTGCCCGCCCCCGCCGCACAAAATGGCTGCGCGGGCCGGGGCCCAGCATTAGGGGGCATCGCCCGCCGCCGCCTCCCCCCCGCTCCTGTGCCCGGCTCCCGCGGGAAGCGGCGGGCGGCGCCGCCCGGATGCGGGGCGGCGGGACACGCAAGCGGTTCCTGTAGGTGAAAGGTCGGGGGGCGCGGGGCCGCCCGGGGCCGGGCCGGGCCCCGGGGCGGGGCGGGCGCGCTCGGCTGCACGTTCCGCAGCGGTGGCGGCCGGGAGCCGCGCGGGCCCGCACCGTTACAGCGCGGCCGGCCCCGCTCCCCGTGCTCCCGCTGCCGGGCCGCGCCCGCTGCGGGGGGCGCCTCTCGGCCGCCGGCGGTCTCCCTCTCACCTGGCGGGCCCGGTGGCCGGTCCGGCGGGTCGCTTTGGCTGCGGCGCGGCTCCGGCTCCCGGGGGTCAGAGTTCGCGACCCCGCCTCCGCCGCCGCTCGACCCCGCCCCGCCGCGGGCTCTGCGCCTGCGCCCGGGCGCGCGGCGGTGAGGGCGGGGCCGCGGGCAGCGGCCGCTAACGGGACCGGGCCGGGCCTGGGCGCTGCGCCCGCGGGCCCGCAGCACTGCGGGCAGGCCCGGGGAGCACACGGACATCGCGGTGCCAGCAGAGCTTTAGGGTCGCCCCAGCTGTCCAGCCGGCACTGCTGCCGCTGTAACACTTACACCACACCAGCCACCGCCAGATCCTGGCGCCGCTTAAAACACCTCCAGGCATGGTGACTCCGACGTCCCCGGGCAGCCTGTTCCAGTGCCCGATCATCCTAACGCAAAAAAGATCTTTTTTCTGATCTGGAAATCTCTGCTGGGACCGCTTAAAGGCACTTCTTTGGATCACTGCAGGCACGCTAGAAGAGAGCAGTCCCTCACCTCACTATAGCCTTCTTACAGGTGGTTGTGAGAGAACCATGAGGGCTCCCCTCAGCCTGCTCTTCTTGAGATTAAACAAACCCAGCTCCCTCAAGCCTTCCTCATGAAGCATGTTTTCAAGACCCTTCACAAACCTTATTGACCACCTCTGGGTGCTCCTTTATAGAGTCCAGGGTCCAAAACTGAAGACACTTCTTGAGTTCTGCCCATCGAGTGGAGAGCACAAGTCTCCACACCCCCACTGCTGCTCCCTGCAGAGAAATGGGACCAAGCAGCGTTGAACATCACAGGTGCATCACAGCATTTGGGCTTAGGGGAGCTTGGTGGGCTCTCCTGGCCCAGGCAGAGCCATAGGCAAGGCTGGCAGATTGGGTTTGAGAGGAGCAGCACGGTGAAGGCACACACAGTGCCTTGCACAGTCACTGTAGCAGTTCAGCCAGCTGAGTCTGAAAGAGCTGAGCTCTGCCTGCACGGCAAAAGCAAGTTCCATCCTTACATGTTAGCAGTGCCCTGCACAGCTCTTGGGAAGGCAATGGCCTGGCTGCCAATGAGTGCCTGTTCCTGCTGGGGCAGTGCCACAGGAACAATTTGCTGCTGCTCTGGCTTGGTCTCAAACTCTGGACCAAAGTTGAGTTAGCTACTTACTTAGTTTATGCTAATTATTTTTAATGACCTTGATTTTAAGTAAGAGTTTTATACTTAAAATACCACCTTTCCCTTCTTACTGTTTCATCTGTTCAATGAAGATGGCCAAGCTGCGGTCAGAGATCTGCAGCAACTTCAAGATCATTAGGTCACCGGGGCTGTATGTGCAATTTCATGATCTGAAAATCATTTAGACCATTAAATACAATTTCTACTGAATCAAATGACATAAGCATCAACATCTGAGCAGCAGTGATAGGAAAAAATACCCAAAGAATACAAGTAAATTTATGTGTTAACCTTAATAAAATTATGCACGCTCTTATCTTGTCAATTCCTTTACTCTTTTCTTCCTGCTCCCAGTCCCTGGATACAAGCTGCACTTGTATCTATCAGCCTTAGCCTGAGATCATTAGTTCAGTATTTGCAAGTGTAGTCATTTTGCTTTTTGATCAAAGATGTTCCCAAACACCAAATGCAAATGAACTCAGTGAAGAATTTTTAAGTCTGAAAAATTAGCCTGCTAAGCAATTCCTTTAAGTGTCAAATGTTGCAGCACTCTCAATTTATAGTGCTTGCCACTTCCCAAACTAGCTTGAGCTGCACATCCAGTTTCTAAATGATAGAGCTTAGCACAGTTTAATTTAACAAATGCCAAGCAATTTGCACCAAATCTTATTTAAGCCAAGTATTCTGATATCCTCAGTGCAGCAGAAATGTCAGTGTAACCTGTACAACATACTTTGTTTTTTTTTAGCAAGTGACCCAATTCATACTTGATCTGTATACGAAGGCATGCCTCTGTAGCTGTGTCAGCCAGGATTGCAAGAGATACATCCCTATCAACAACACACAGAGAAGCAAAACCTTTTCTGCTATTACTGCAAGTTTTCCAAAAACTGCTTTCAAACATATATAAGGAAGCAGCATAACTAACCTGACAGAAAAATCACTCCCTTACATGCCCTGCTAAAATACTTATAGAATTAAAGAATCATTTAGGTTGGAAAAGACCTCTAAGATAATAATTGAGTCCAACTTTTAGCCCAGCAACTGCTAAGTCCACCACTTAAACCATGTCCCAAATTGCCGTATCTGTACACCTTTTAAATAGGGATAATGAGTCCTCTGCTTCCCTGGGCAGTCTGTGCCAGCGCTTGGCAACCCTTAGGATGAAGAGTTTTTCCTTGTATCTAACCTAAACCTCCCCTTTTGCAACTTGGAGCCATTTCCTCTTGTCCTGTTCCTTATTTGAGAGAAGAAGCTGAGCACGTGGCTACAACCTCCTTGCAGGTGCTGGAAGAGATCAGTAGGGTCTCCCTGAGCCCCCTTTTCTCCAGACTAACACCCCCTGCTCCCTCAGCCACTCCCCATCAGACTGGTGCTCCAGACCCTTCCCCAGCCCCGCTGCCCTTCTCTGCACACCCTGCAGCCCCTCAGAGTCTTTCTTGCAGGGAGAGGCCCAGAACTGAGCGTGGTGTTTGCAGCATGGCCTCACCAGTGCCGAGTACAGGGGGACAGTCACTGTGCTGGTCCTGCTGGCCACAGCCCTGCTGATCCAGGCCAGGATGCCCTTGGCCTTCCTGGCACAGATGGCTCCATTTCTGCTGCTGTTGACCAGCACCCCCAGCTCCTTTCCAGACACTCTGCGCCTGCCCCAAGCCTGCTGGGGTTGTCGTGACCCACGTGCAGGACCCAAGGCCAACAGAAGCTGTGATTCAGGCATTCTTTGACTGACACAGCAGAACTACATTTTGCAAAAGGATTTATTAATGTAACACCCTTCATCTGACCTTCACATACACTTAACCCCCTTAATTCTTTGGAATGATATTTAAAGTAAGACTGATGTGCAATTAATGGGAACAAATTCTGCTTTTTGAAAATCACTGAACACACAAATTACATAATACATAAAACCTGAAAATATTAAAAGACACAGACTCAAATAATGTGAATTTATTTATACAAAAATGATGAATATCCACAGAAATATTTACAACTTTAAACTGTTTTCAGTTACAAAATAAAAATTCTATTCTTCCATTTAGACAGTATGATTTAGGACTGCTCCAAATAAAATCCTATTTGGATGGTAAATAGGGGACAGCAGTTACAGCAAACAAATGCACTGAATGTGTCTTTCCAGACATCTCTTTAAGTTATGATGTAATAAACATGGTTGAGTAATTGAGTTTCCATGCACAAAATATTTAGTAAAATGTGTTCCGCAGCTGCTCAGATTGTTTTAAGTCCTTTGGGCACGTGGTTTTAAGTTAAAGAGAATTCAAGATCCTAGAAGCTTTAATTTATTTATGAACAAAAATGTTAGAACTAATATTCAATGCTTATGTTTGTCTCATACTCTACTAACCAATCTTAAATTGATTACAAACTATAGATTCTTATAAGAAGAGGTAGCAGGTGTCTGAACACTTCTGATCTTGTTTTAGTGTTTAGCCAAATCAAGACATAATATTTTACTTTTGATGGTAATGCATCAAACTGGGAGGTGAACTGGAGAAATAGGGCAAGTTTGAAAAGCAACCATCTGAAAATGTTATGAAAATGCTTGTGTTGTGGGTTCTTCATATGACACAAAGCACTACTGCAGGAGTGAGGAAAAGAAATATTCAAACACGTTTATAAAGACAATTTATTTCACACAGAATGTGACTGCAATATGTATACTACTGTTTGAAAGGCTCTGTTCCAATCTATTCATGTCAGAAATTTTTTGATTGATCAGCCACTTCTGGAAGGAGTCCTCTGATTTCCACAGAACACTTTAAACTATTTTCTCCCTCTGCACCGAATCCTCTAGAGGTAGTTTGACGCCACATGAAGCAGAACTTGGGCACCTTACTCAGTGTGTTTTGATTTTTATTGCTCTGTTTTGCAGCAGGGAAAATATCAATGCATAAACTGAAATTAAATTAGCTTGCTCCTATCCAATTTCTGATTCATTTGCTGCTTCATGACTTGCCATTTTCGTTGTTGTGCAGTGCCTATGAAAATATGAAGAAGCTCTTCCCTTTGATACTATAAACTGGAAGAGACACATCCCATCTATGTCATATTGATACCAGTTTGGTTTTGGATACACTAAAAATCATGTCAGAAATCACCCTGAAGAGACATGGTAATAATTTACTTAGCTTCAGTCAGCAGTTGCTTTTGAAAATTAAGTAAAAGCCCTTTGTATATAACAAGAGAAAAGAATTCATTTAGCACATTTGTATTACAATAAAAGAGAATAAAGGCTTTGATCAGACTCCTGCTGCATTTCCAACACTATCTGGACAAATCTCTGGCATTCCTGAGGGAAATCAGATCTACAGCCTTAAGTCCCTGATTCATTAGGTACTCTACTGAAATGCTGGAAGTCAATGAAATTTCGTGTATAGTTAATATTAAGAATTCGACTTCCAAGCCCACTACTAACTTTGGAGAAGCTCTTGGAAATTAGGCTTTTTCAGAGCTCTGTTAGTATCTTGGACCTGGCCTTGAGGTATATTGAGGGAAAAAGAGAATTGTGGTTTGCATTTTCATTCTTGGCCTTTTTGTGATGAATATTAACTATTCTACCATCTCTTCTCTTTCTGCTGTGAGGCCACAGAATAGCTAATAATGTGGGATTCAAACTATTAATTAAAAGTTAATTGCTCTTAATTTTGTTATCACAACTAGCTTGATTTGGGGGACTATAACAAGTGTTTCATACAGTAAAATTAACTGACTACCATATGCATTGCATTTGACATAAAAATGGCTTTCTTTCATGTGGGTTTCATAGTTGTAGTTCCATTTATGCTATTACAGTGTTAACACTTTTTAGAAGTTAAATAGACTAAATGCACCAGAATCATCAGTAAGTATTTCCTAATGAGGTATACTGATGATTTAAGAAAAAAAAACCCCAAAACCCAAACACCTAAAGTTGAATTCTGTTTTAAAGTGTCAAACAGAACAAATCATATTGTAAACAAAAGGTATTTCAAATAATGGTATGCATTTTCAATGCCTTCTGCACTAAAAAAGCTCTGTTGTCTTGGTATGGCAATTCCAGTTTAAGCATAATATTTAAATATACAATAGTTTTAAAATTTTCAGAGAAGAGGGTGCACATATTTGTTTACTGTTCTTTGAACAATAGTTTATACAATACAGTGTTTCATATTGTGTACAGAACTCATTTGACATGAAGTTTTGAAACAAATAAGATATCTTGTCTTTGATTATCAAAAATGTACTTTTATTCTGTTTGAATAATTCCTGGAAACATAAAAAGATAATTCATCTTGCAATTGCTGGAAGATAACTCATTTAGTCTCTTTGGCATCTGTAGTACTGTAACAGTTCTAGTGCCTTATCCCTGCAATTGCAAACTTTTAAAAAATATTTTTCCCTTTTCTGTTTTTTAATAATCGAACCGTATTTTGTTTTTGTGACATAGAATTTGTTGTATTGTTTTAATGTACTGGTATGCAAGATTTCAACTGCCATTCAAGGAAAGGAGCGTCAATATCAGACAACTTCTCAAAAAGGAGCTTACAGAGTCAACAAAGATCCCAAATCTGTGAAATTCCTATACCAATCTGTTCTTGCTAAATTGCAAAGTGAACATCAGCAACTCAAGAACCTATACACAAATCACAAGGAAATGCACAATTGCAACAAATCTGGTTTGTGGTGTTTTTTTGTTTTGTTTTGTTTTTTTTTTTTTAATAAAGCATAAAGCTTATAACCTGTTGACCAACAATCTGCCACTCTGAGGACACTTTGGACTTCAATGCACAAATAATTCTGCCCATTTAAGTAAACACTGGAATTTAATAAATAACACATTTTGTATCAACACAGAAATACATACAATTCTTTAGAAAAATATTATTTTACACTAAAAATGCAACAACTCCTAATCCTGACAAATATACAATTTTATATAGGTTGTGATGGCAGGATTCTGTTTCTTTGAACAGTTGCTGTAGTCTGTTTTATCACCATCCTTAGATATTTTCCTTTAAACTTGCAGACACAATTCTGACACTGCTATAATACAGTGCCCTCTTGAAAAGCTTCTATCCACCTGTTAGAAAATGAAACACTGTTAGGAAGTAGCTGATAAAAGAATAAATCTCAATGCTGTCACGAGCTGCAGACTGACACAAGAAGGAACATCATACATCCAGCTGGTCTGTGAGTGCAATACCAAAGTCTATCCAGTGAGTCCAACCATACAGAGCTGCCTCGTACAAGGCCATCCCACAGAAGCTTTTTCCTGCGCCTCTCCCATACTGAAGCTACATGCACAAAGAATTGGTGAAGCTGGGAAATCAAATGCCCTAAAAGTAGGCTATGCCAAGGTTCTGCACACCTTTAAAAAGCCCCAATGCTCCCTTCTCTTTTTCCCTGCAAACATGATCTGGGAGGAATCAGGACACTGCTGTACCTGAGGCAGCATCTGCATAACCCAGGCTCTGCTTCTGCAGCAGGAAAAAGCCAAGGACTGGTGGGGCTGAGGGAGGAGGTCACAGGGCACATGGAAAGGCAGGGAAGGGCATAGAGGGCACTGGGGGAAGTCCCAAACAGCTGATCCAAGGTTTCTCAAACTGGAAATTCAAAGTTAATATTCACATACTTTAACTCCCTATAGCGGTGGTTTCTTTTCCTACTTGGTTAGGAGGGTAATAAACATCCTCAGCTTCTCAAGAATGCAAAAATTAATGTTCCTGTAGCATTCCAAGGCTGCAGAACAAATAATTCTGTTTTCTGAGTGAGGGCTGAACTGTGTGTATGTAAAGGTAAGAGGCCCACATAATGAGCATTTGTTTCCTGAGTGGAGATCTTGGAGGAACTGAACGAAACAAAGACTGTAATTATCTTTATCATGGAAATTCAAACTGTCTCGGTATTCACAGGGTATCTAAACATTAGTCACAGATGCTGGCTCTTCCTTGCCCTGAGCATTTAATTTTGTAGCTATGTGCATGTTCTTTGAATTCAAGCTTTTGGCATGAACATATTAATCATGACATGCTCACACATGTCTGCACACACAGCTCAAATATCTACCCTATCTTTTAGTAATATTTTTAGTATTTTCTACTGCCATATATACATTAAAAACAACTAAAGTAGAATACAAATGCAAAAAAAAATCATAAACAGCTTAAGCATTGAACACAGCACTGGAATTTAAAACCACATTGAAAAGTAACCATCTGTTAAAATTTATTATTGCGCTGAGACAAACAGATCAGGTATTTCTTTGGTCCTATCAGGAGAAAATTGTGTCCACTGTTGCAAACAGACCAACAGCATGCTTTTGTTTTTCCTTTTAAGGCTGTAAAAACAGCATTTATTCTGAAGGGTCAGCATAAATCTCCTAAGGATATTAAATATTTGGAGAAAGCTTGAAATTCAAAGTACTTAATGTTATTCCTAACCTCAGTAAAATACACTATGTCCAATTTCAAGCTTTCCTCTGATGAGAAAAGCCATTGCCTGAGTAGAACAATAAACCTGTTGAATGCCTGGGGGTTTTTTAGTTTGTTTTATATAGTACAAATAAGGACACAGGGGAAACAACAGGATAGTATCTTAATTAACAAAGAAACATTTATGCACATCTGCACAAAATACTCCCAAATATCAAATAAAGACTTCCAGATTTTCTTCTGTAGAGAAATGTCATTAAGCACATTCTCAGCTGTTCAAAATTTCCTGTTGTATTGGATTCTTTGTTTTTAGAATGTTCCTATTTGCAGAAAACTAAACCTGCATCCATTTGGATGTTTAAATACTGATAATGGACTTGTAAATGCATCAAATCTATTTAATAATGTAAACTTCATTAGGGAAAATGGCAATGAAACCAGTCAGATAAGAGAGCTTTACATGTGTTCCTTCTATGCCTTCTGTTTCTAGTTTACTTTATGAATCATGTGATGAATGTTTTCTACTGATTAATGACCAAGCTTCCAGGTTATTTAACATGAAACCAACACAATTCATAGCTTGATAAATATGACTCCAAGTCCAGACAGGACTTGAAATGAAACAGCTTGTGTGAATGCTCTTTGAATGCAAGCTTTAGGTCTGAGTGCATGCCTAGGTGCTCGTGGGCATCAGCTCACACACTTCAAACCTTGGCCCCCAAGTTTTAGTGTTTGCTTTATTTTTCACTGCCATATATTGATTAACTAATATGAACAGGTGAAATTAAAAAAGGAGCATATCAGTTAATTCTTAAAAATATTTTCTGGATGTATGCAAAAGTAACATTCAATTTTCACTTGAGTAGACCAGGATGAGAGAGAAATAGGTGAGGAAAAAGAAAGATTTCTTATTTTATCTTTGACTTTCTCATTCTACACTCAGTCTTTTGCAGAAGAGAGTCTGCTTCCTTCATTTCAGAAGCCCTAATGAAACCAGAACCTTATGTTTAAATAATTTAAAACTTTCATTTACTTATGATATAATATGGGTCTTTTATACATATGCTAAATGTGTGAATATTAACATTCACCACTTCTGAATTTTCTAGAAATATGTAACAGCAATGAATTCAAATAGTTTCTTACTTTTGAGCTGAATGAGGATCATCTGCCTTGAATATGTAAAATAAAGTGTTTTTGTGCAGTAAATGGAACACTCTAGACTCTGAGTTTTCACCTTTTACTTCACTGACTGTGAATCCAAGTAAAGGCTGGCTCTCTAATGCTGCCACATCCTATGTAACAGGGAAAAAAAGGAAAAAATACAAAATTAGAGCTTGTAAGACATACTAAGGCATGCATTTAGACCTCACACACCATACCACTGCAGCAGACAATACAACAAATTGTTATAAACATACACACACAGAATTCTGCTCTTTACATTCTCCAGGCATGAGTCAAGGGACAGGAAATAAAACCTCACAGACTTCAACACTGCTGATCCTCTTTTCATTTCCCTGATAGCATCTACCTTGTCTTTCACTGCATGGTCCCATCATTCTGCCTGGCAAGGACTTCTTGTACCAACAGACCAGAGGCCCATCAAGCCCAGTGCTCTCTGCAGCAAGCTCAGAAGTGAAGTGGGATGCTATTAACTGCACTGAGTATGCTAAAAGGAGGAGCAGCCTGTGCTCCCAAGCACTGAACTCAAGATCCAAATCTTTAAATGGCTAAACTGATTTCACTTTCTTTTGCTGGAAATTAACAGAATAGGGGGAAAACAAGTTGCTGAGTGTTGACTAACAGTCGACCAGAAAAGACCCTTCCTCATTTACCTCAGTTACCTTTTTTTTTTGTAATACTCTTGGCTTTTTATTAATGGATACAATACACAGCACTCTTGGAAAGGAAAAAAGGACTATTTTCATTCTGTGCAAGTTCCAAAACAGTGGAAGGCATTGCAGGCAACATCCTGCAATGCTTATGAACAGAAGAAAAAAAAATAGCTAACCCCCCCCAAATTTACACAAACACTGACACATCAGGTGAAGACTTTGGTGATTGCCTCTACAGTGAAACAAAAGTGTCCTGTGACAGCAGCATTTCTTGATATTGGAAAAGAGTCATGTAAGGCTGAGTAATCTGTTTCACTGTCTCAGGTCTTCGTACCACTAATATGTTATTTCTTTACCATTGATCTTTCTGTCACTTGGAACCAATATAAGTAGCTTAAGTGGCCAAGGCAACACTGCACCTTCCCTTTAGACTCTCTAAATAATGTCTTCTGCAATGGCTCACCAAGATGAAAACTAAGGATGGATATTCCTCAGTTTAAGAAAATAGGAAAGAGTTAATTTTGTGATTGTGAACTGCAAACTGAAGCTACTCTGTAAAGTTGATATCTCAGAGGAACAAAGCAAAAGAAAATTTAAGGTGACTCACAGACTTTGCTCTTTTTTTACCTCTCCAGTTTCCTTTGCAAAGGCCAGAAGAAACACAATGCTCTGAAATTATTTGCTAATTGATGTAAAAGTAATTGTTTTCTAGATACTTCTTTAAACTGTTTTTAGAACTACTTGGGTTTTATTTTTAGTATTGCCAATGCTGTAGTGGAAACAACATCACAGGTTTTAGACATAATTCCAAGTTCAAAAATAAAGGTTGGCAGGAACAACCCAGGAAAAAATCTGAGCACAAATCAGGAAATAACTAGAGTGGGAGTGGTGTGGAGTGAAGAAGGATAATTCTTTACATGGCCAGGATAGGTTGGGCCTTACAATTAGAAAGAAAGTAAGGGATAGCAATACCTTAAAACAAATGCTTTGGATATTTTGCTCTTGAAAGCTAGTAGTAAACTATAACAAACAATACAAAAACCTGAAGCCCAAGATCAATACACCCATATATGTTACAAAAGATTCTAAGAACATTCTAAGATGCAATAAAATAGATCCTCAGCACATGTTGGGATACCACATATATGTACCATTTATACATATATATATATGTTAGAGATTATTCCACACTGCAATAGGACTACACATTCTAAATAAAAAAGCAAATGCCATTATATAAGGTGTATTTCTTTTATATCAAATAACAACTCCAGGCTGAAGACAACACTTTCAGGAGAAGTAAAGAGATTTAGTTTACTCCTTTTGCAAGCATTCAAAATACCTTATGGAAGTGCAAAACAAGATAGTTCAAGATGCTTTTATAGTGTTGCCTTTGCCACTAGTACTGTGATGCGTGCAACAGATCCCCCATGTATTCAGCTGACTCAGAAAATACCTAGAACTGAGCAATGGTGTGCAGTGCAGAGGTAATCAAAGCTAGATCTGGAATCAGAAACACCATAGCTATATCAATCTAGTTTGGTATCAAGCTCACTAGGCCTTTTCAAAATACTGGATCACAATCAGATCAAATAGTGTAAGGTGATCTAATTTTATAGCTTTTTTTCTAGATCTTAAGAATAAACAACTTTGTTACAAAGACAGTACTATCATTGGATATTTAGTCTCTAATATGTGGTCTCTTACCTCACTAGCAGCATATGTGTATAGCACCTTATTTTTTATAACAAACCACAGGTGTTTCCATGGTTTCTTACTGCCCTTAGATCTGTGTAGGTAGCCACTCATTGTAGAGTCTTCTGTATTGGCTGAAACCTGAAGAGGAAAAAACAATGAATCAACAAACCCTAAAAAGATTTCACAGTACGGCTTTTTTTTTTTTTTAACAGATTTCTAAAGCTCTGTCTGTCAGAGACTGAAATTCTTACCTGGTCTCAGGTTAATGTTGCTAACTAACTCAGGTGGATGAAAGAAAAATTATTTTGCCTGCTACCATTTATCTGGTCTGGAAGAGAGGTTTCCAGTAAAGGATGGAACTTAAGTTGGATACAACAGGACAAGAGAAATGCTGAGGAAAACATACAGCTGGAGAACACAGATTCCTATATAAGAAGAATCATAGGATCAGAGTGGTTTGGCTTTGAAGAGACCTCAAAGTTCATCTCATTTCAACTCCCCTGTCATGGGCAGGGACACCTTCCCCTAGACCTTAGGTGGCTTAAAGCCCCTCTAGTCTGGTCTTGAACACTTCCAGGGATGGAGAGTCCACAACCCCTTTTTGGGTAACCTGTTACAATTCCTCACCACTGTTATTGTAAAGAATTTCTTCCTGGTATCTAATCTAAACCTACCCTCCTTCAACTTATGAAGGGTCCCCCTTGTCCTATCACTACATGCCCTTGTAAAAAGTCCCTCTCCAGCTTTCTTGTAGGCCCCTCTTTTGGTGCTGGCAGGCCGCTCCAAAATCTCCCTGGAGCCTTCTCTTCTCCAGACTGAACAATCCCAAGTCTCTCAGCCTGCTCTATTAGGAGAGGTGCTTCAGCCCTCCCTCAACTTAGTACCCCTCACTTAGTACCCCTCCTCTGGACTCATTCCAGCAGGTCCATGTCCTTATTACAGTGGGGACCCCAGAGTTATGCTGCAGGTGGGTCTCACCAGGGCAGAGCAGAGCAGAGGGGCAGAATCTCCTCCCTCACCCTGCTGGCCATGCTGCTTTGGATGCAGCCCAGGACACAGTTGGTTTTCTGGGCTGCAAGGGCAAATTGCTGATTTATGTAGATCTTTTCACCCACAAACAGCCCCAGCTCTTTCTCCCCAGGGCTGGCATCAATCCATTCTCCACTCAGCCTATATTTGTGCTTGGGATTTCCCTGCAGGACCTTTGGCTTGGACTTGCTGAATTTTGTGAGGTTCACACAGACCCATCTCTCATGCCTATCCAGGTCCCTCTGGATGGCATCCCTTCCCTCTGGTGTGTGGACTGCAACACACAGTCTGGTGTCATCAGCAAACCTGCTGAAAAATCACCTCCTCCCATTCCCAAGACCTACAGTAAGTGTGGTTACTCTACCCTTCCTAATCATAAACCAAGAGCTGAGTTGGTGTAGGAGTCTTGTCATTGACTGTTGGTACAGTGATAAATCACAATTCAGGGAAACATGGGGAATCAAGAAAGAAATTACAATTTTATCTATAGCTCTGAATCACAGTCTCACAGGTGTTCATGCAGTTTACACAGTGCTTCATTGTTCATGTCCCTGCCTATTTAAAACTAAGGCCCAAACCTCAGAGACACATTATGACTTTTGATTCTAGGTAAGATGGTTAAAATAAGGACTTTTTTTTCCCCACTCTTAATATTGATGATATAATACCAAGAAGGTACCACTTTTGACCAATAAAACACTTACTTCTTTGAGGGCTGCAGGAATTTTTTTCTGCTTTCTTCCAGAGGGAATACTTTGCAATACTGTAGACAAGGCACTTGATGGAGATTTATGGTTGATCGGGGATCCGCTCTTAGGAGCGCACTGGTTATCTAAAATGCACAGGATGGATATATTGATTTCATGTCACAGGTGACTAAACACAGGCAATTCATTCTTGGACTTTTCTTCTTAAAAACAGCTGGCATTTTTATTCAGATTACAGGGTTACAATAGTAACACCTAATCATGTGAAATTCAGCACTGAATTAACTTTTCAGTGCTATCATCAACACCATGAGTTAGAATCCCTCAAATCACAATCATACTAAAAAAAACAACAAGAAGTTTAAAACTAAACAAATTGGTTTTGTTTGTTTTCAAAGTCTGTTTTCTGGGTGTTGAACTGCCTTTGCTCATAAAGAGGGTGAAAATTAAGTCTTATAAATCGCAGCAAATTTTTACAGCTGTCCTCTATGTTTTCTGTACTTTATCTTTCAATTCTCTACATCTGTTAACTTCTCAACCTTATTCAATAGGGATGTTCCTCTTCCAGCACACACACATTTCTGGACATTCCCATCTCCCAGCATATGCTGTCTTTCTGCACTGCCACAGGCAGTTACTCATCTCTCTGGGAAGACTTATGCACCACTTCACCTCTTCAAAAATCCTTTTTGTAGCAACACTTTTTTTTACAGCTGCACTTGGAATGAGTGGTTTCATAAAGTCTACTTCTAGAGTTGGCCCTGAACTCGGTGACACTCTGAGATAATGAGAAGAGCAGGAGAGCAATGTGATTGCCAGCTGTAGTGCACCTGCTCCCCAGCCCTTTTCCCAGCTTCAGGCACTGCAATGGCCTGCAGCACAGCAGCCTCTAGTGCTCAGCACAGACACCTGCAGGTGTTCAGACACGGCTCTTCCCATCACCATAGGCTCCCACTGTCATTTGGATTATCCATGCTGTTCTCCGCACCCCCACTGGAAATGTCACCCCCAGCCTGCTGGGATCCAGTGCTTTATCATTTCACCAGGCACCTCAGATTTCCTGATACCCCAGAGAGCTCGTGTCACACTGGAGCCTTGCTGAGGAAGGGGACCAGAAAACTCTTTCAGTCTGTTACAGCTCATTTGGGTACTTTACACTCGAGTATTTCAATTCAGTTCACAGCAAGTCTTGTGAGATGGGACTGGATTTCCACCTCACTGGGAGGTGCTGCCATTGATTTTACACTTGTTTCTGCAGAATGATATGAAGCTTCTTCAAAGAGATGAACTAGAGTTTTCTCAGGATGAGGACACTGACCCTGGATCTCATCTTTAAGCAAATGTTATTACCATTAGGCTATCCAGCCATTGCTATCCCCTAGGCACCACATTCTCTGAAAGTGTTCCAGTGAAAACTGCTCTAGCTGTGCTGTTTTATTTTGAATTCCATGTTGCCAGTGTTCAGTAGGCAAGGGTTAGGAGTTTGCTTTCATATATGAGGTACAAATATGCCAAGTTCTTGAATTCCATATGAGCTGAGGTTTGAGAGTGGCTTGAGGCCAGTTTATAGACCTGCAGAGACTCAGCTTCAGAAAGATTAAGGCCTGTGTCTCTACAGAGCCCCAGAACTTTAGCCATCTCACCAGCTCAGCTGGCAAAAATGAAGTTTACAGACATACAAGTTACAGAGTGTAGAAGTACACATGAAGCCCTGGGAGGTCAGGATAAACTGTGAGGACTCTAATGTACACTTGTACCCGGTGATTATTGAAAAGCAATGTAACACTTGTCACCTCAAAAGGAAAGCTATATAAGCTACATGTCATTACTACAGGGTAAAGGCACACATGTTTCTGGAAGAAAGAGCCACTGTATTTCAAATTCATTTCCTAACTTGCTGCACAGAAGCTTGTTTGGCTTAGAATCTCAGGTGCCTATCATTTTTCAGGCACAAGCAGAATTAAGCACTTGAACCCAGCAGTTAAGATGATGAGGCACACATATACCATGTTATAAAGGCCACAAAAGTAAGATACAGTTTGTGAAGGTTTTCTTTACCTTGCTTTTGTAGCTCCCTGAAGCAATGATCACAAACTCTAGCTGGCTGGTTTTTCATATAGTCTAAGCCATGTTTGTTTGATGAACAAGCTTGACAGACAATCTGGAAACAAGATAGAAACATATAAAAGCATTATTGTACATGATGTGCACCTGTAAATCACCAAAGACGTTCACTTCAGCACTTTTAAGCCCATAAAACCCTGAAATAGGCATTATTTTACAGTGCAAATGTTTTAAGATCTTGGCTTTTCCCCATGTCTTTATGCTTAGCATAGTAACCTCTAAATGATGAAAATTTAAATATTAAAAAAATCAGTGAATTAGGAGGCAATAAGCCAACATTAATAATCCATTAAAAATAGAACAAGCATATTGTGTTACTGATTTGATCAACTGTTTTGATTATAAATTTTTTGAAATAGCTAAAGCTATTGCTCTCTTGATGATTTCTTTACAATACAGATGCCTCAACTGCATTGCATTCTAACTTTGTATTCCCACTGGATTAAAAGAAGAAAGATAAAGTTTATTAGCTATAGCTTTCATAAGTGTAAATATAAAAGAAGGTTGGTACTAACTTAAAATCAAAAATCATTATTTATCTTACGAAAATTAGTGAGGAAGATACTTCTTCATTTTAGCTAACATTTGTGGGTATTATGTAATTGCAAAATAACCATAAATAGCACTCCAGAATGCAAGATAACTAACATGCAGCATGTTGAAGTTTGAATACTGGTCTGTCATAACACCTGTCCAAAAAACCCAAACTCCACTCCCCAAACCACCAACCCCAACATGTTGGTTCTAACCCACGTAATTGTGTCATAGTACAGGGTTTCTGAGAAGAGCGGTTGGGATGACAAGGCTCCACCTGAATGCCACACAAGGAACCTGAATGAGCAACTGAAAAGGTAACCACAAGACCAGCCAACCTTCCCGCACGCCCTGCAGTGGTGCCTTCTCCATGTCAGCGTGAATTCACTGGTACAGATCATGCACATCGTGGCTCTCGTGTCAGGGATCCAGATGGGAGCCTTTGATCCCAGAGGACTGTCTTCTTCCTGCTGCTCTGCATCTGCCTGAGAGAGCATAGGCACAGTAGCACTACATTCAGTGAGGAGAAATAAGACTAATATTCATCATTATAAGATAATGTTAATGGTGTTGGAAAGCCTTCTCTGATAAATTGTCATGGTCTTAAATGTTACCTACTATTTCATCAGCAACCATTATAATGCAAGCCTGACAACAGAGATGCATTTAATGATTTTCAAGCTTTACCAGCCTACTTGGATCAATAGCTGCTTTATTTTAAAACCTTTTCATTTCATCTTTCTGTGCACAAGGCTACAGAGAGAACTGTGAAAACTGATTTGGGTTTTTTTGAAGAAAATAAATTTATGAATTAGATAACACTATGAAATATTCTGTTCTACCATCTGTTCAATTATTTACCATCCTGCTTTATTATTTGACATGGAATACCTCTCGTTTCTCTGTCAGGAGACTTTATATTCAAAAAGGGAACAAACCAGCAATAATGGTGGGATATACCTCTTCAAGACTTTTGCTTGGATTAAATGTGATTCTCTTTTTTGTATATTCTTCAATCGACTTGGAGATAGCTTCCAACCACTCATCTCTTTCTGTAGCAGAACTGTTGGAGTAAAAACCCACAAAAGCAATTTATTAACATTTTAAGAAGCAAGTGTTGATTAGAATTCCACTAGCTTTATTACACAGTGGAGTAACTCTCTTGCAATTCCAGTTTATAAAACGTCTACAATTCCTACTGCAACTGGCATTATTTTTTAAACTTTGGCATAGTGTTAGTTATTTATGTTGATTAATACTAAAAAAGATTTGTCTGCTGCCATGTGGATTCCCTCCTTCCCTTTCCTCCTTCTAAAATCCCTGTAATTCTTTCAAGGCTTGTCTGTCATTGCTTCCCCCTCCTCCCCAGACCCTTGAATAGCCTGAATAATACTTTTTTAAATGATGCTCCTAGAACAAAGGCATGGGCCTTCCATCTTGAAGGCAACCTGAAATTTCAGCAAACCTTTTTTCTCCCCGCCTCCTTCTGTCTCAGAGTGCAGTTTGCTATACCCAACCCTGTGAAACTCCAAGCTTCTGTCAGATAAAACCACACTGACTCTTCTCCTGCCTTGTGCTCCTAACTATTTGCTCCTACCAGATCATGCTACTTTCAAACAATAATGTTTTTTCCCCAGAATGTTTCCATTGGATGAGCTAACTCAAAGAGACAGACAGGTAAGCTTAGTCCATCTCTTTATCCCACGGCTGGTGGTGAATCACTAATCAAGCGCAAGGAAAGCATTAGGCTGAAGTGGCACGGCACAGGGAGCACGAGGAGTGCCTGGTGCAGTAGGATCCTGCAGCTATGCTGGACTGTGTGCAGTGCCAGAGCACCTCCTCTGTACAGGGGCACAACACCATTTTTATAAATCTGTGCTGTTCCTGCTGCAAAGGGCAGCCTAGTATCCTTTCTCTCAGCCACTAGATCTTATTTTCACTCTTGTGCCAGAACACACACAGTTATGCAGCAGGCTGGATTGGGAAACAAATCCATATTAAAGCAAGCCATCAGCCTGACCTTCCTCTGGATCAATTTACCAACTAAATTACCATCACACAGCTGAACAACTACTTGTGCCAGCAACACAGAGAAGACTCTGAGGAAGGATGAAGCAGTTTTGCAGCAGAGGAACAGCTAGACTGTTTAAGATGCCATGCCAGCTTAGAAAGGTTTTCTAAAATTTAAACAAGAATCCACTCCCATATTTTTTTTCTATTCCCCACTTTTTAATTGGTATCAAGTAAATTAATTTGTTTAAACCAAGGAATTGAACAAAAATATAGAGAAAGGAAAGTTAGGGAAGAGGTAAGCAATGACTTATACAAATAAGGTGCCTAATGCCAACTATTATTTAATGGTTTTGTAGGTGAATTTGAAAGCTTTTATTATTTTTGGACCTTTAAGGAAAATATTTTGAATGAGGGGTTTGAATGGAATGAAACTGAGTGCTATACAGAATCAGAGAGGACAAATCTGCTAAAGTAAACATATGGGAAGCCTGTGAGGCACAAGCAAAAGAAAAAAGATCTAGCACACAGAGCAACAAAATCAGAACAGAAGAAGAGGAAATAAGATACATGCAAGGGCAAAGCAATGCACTAGTGTCTGTCCCAACATCTCACATTCTAAGTGGAACATTCTGTTCAGTCTATTTACCTTTGCTTCCTCATCCAGAAAGAACAACTGGCCTGCATTGACTACAAAATATTCAGAACTCTAATCAACACCTTTGGCTTTTTCAAAATCTGGTTACATTTAATTAGATTCCTGTAACTGTATCACTTGAAAGATGGCACAGGTTTTGGAGATTACTCACCACCACCATCCCCACCATGTGGGGACTGCTCTGTATGCAGTGGCTTGCACAATGAGCTACAGGCTTACACCCTTGTATTTCACCAGGAACCTCATGCTCAGTAGGTTTGCTAGTGGTAGCCTTTAGGATTGCTTACAATCCTTCAGAATGGAAGAGCAAAGGTGGTGCCACTGGCTGTGGAATTGATGCAATGGTGTGCTGCAGCAAAATTGGCAGTTTCTTCTGTCACTCCAGCCCTCCCCCACAGTTTCCCCTACTGCAGATCCACTATTTGTTGCATCCTTACAAAAGTGATTTTGTTTAATATACAAAATTGGTGTTATTGGCTTTTTAAAACATTATTACTTTTATTTATTTAAGATTTAACATCACAGTGGAAAGCTCAAATGGATTACAGAAAACCCTAGCAATGGCTACCACTGGCAAATGCATGTGCTGGGGGCACACATCCAGCTGCTCACTGGAGCTGATCAGCTCAGTGGCCCCAGGAGGACACTGGGGAAGTGTGTCCCTCTTGTTTCCAGAGCCTTAGGGCACCTCTCCCAGCTGAGCCTGCCTTGCCTGACCATCCTTAGGTAGGATGGGAGGAGATGCAGCTCTGTCTGCCTGGGGTAGCTCTTCAGCAGCCTTATGGAGGGCCAGACCACGTGAGGCTGCCGTGACTGCTGTTGCCAGGACCAAAGCTTTACTTCTGCACACTGCTGTATCATGCAGATGTATTAACTTGCTTTTCTGATGAAGAGATTTCTAGTACAATACTGCATTATACTGTGAAAAACAATTCACATTCCTACAGATACCCCAGGAAAACTGAAACCTCAACCCAGACTAGATAAAGTGCCATACTAATGCAGTCAGTAAAACTAAACCTGAAGTGACAGACTCTTGTCTAGGCATTAATCTATATTTCTGTCATTAACAGGCCTGCTTTTTATTACTAGCAATTTTTCACCAATTAAATTTTTCACTTTCTTGTCTCTGCTCCCAGGATCATTTCAGAATCTCTTCTTTGGTGTACACTCCACATAATGCTTTGAAAAAAACCCATGGAAATGAAATTTGTCTCCAATGTCTTTAAGACTAATTTGAACAGTTTTGAAAATAAGGATGGGTTTTTTTTTACCATATAGGACCTGACAAGCTGTTAGAATGAGGCATCATGCAAAGGAAGATGTAGCCTGGGCTGACAAGATGTGAATTCTCTTCACATTTAGAATATTTATCAATAGGAAAAAACACAGTTGATTGGGAAAAATATATGCAAGCACTGGCTGCTGGTAGTATTTTTCAATTGCTTCCCTCCTACACCACAGCAGGCCAGTTCTGATGACAGAAAACAATCTGAAAACTGTCATTTACATCTGGAGCCTCCAGCACCTCCTTCATGCCACACAAATGCAACCTCTCTCTGACCCTGCTGTCTAACTTAGGGCTCCTGCACAGGCATGGCTCCCAGCAAGTATAAAAATAACAGAGCTGAATGCTCCCAAAGATGCAACATCAACAACACTAAAAAAAACAAAACAGAAAAAAACCAAACCCAAAACAAACAAACAAAAAACAACAACAAAAAACCCACAAAAAACCAAACCAAACCAACAAACAAAAAAACAAACAAAAACCAAAAAAAACCCCCAAATTGTAGTAGCCTCAGTTGGCAATATGAGGTTAATTCCAGCAATTTCAAGGTTAAGACAAAAGTATGTCACAAACTCTGCCAAATTTGATGAGCATGTTATCTATAGGGATTTTCCCCTATGGACCAGCATGTCTTTCCCAGGAGTTGCTTTTAATCTACCACTTAATCAGTTCATCCAAAAGACAAGTCTAACTTGTTTTGTGGAAACTAAGTAGCTTGTATGTTAAGATGATAACATTTTCAGAAGTTCCAATTATTCTTTTACATTTTTTTAGAACAACTGAATTAAAAGTGAAACGCTGTTTCAAGTCAAGCAGAGATAAATCCTCATTGCCTGCTGCCATCCCCTGAATGCCTTCATGTGTCTGTGTGACCTGTAGTCACCAAGCAGCACAGAGCTGTTCATATTACACTGGAGCAGAACCATACCCTAAACTGTGAAATGCATTGTTTTCCCCCAGTGTGCAGAAGACCTCTAAAAAACGTTTAAATTTGTTGAAGAAATGCAGAATTACCCATTTCAAGTGGGTTTTTATAAATAACTACTGCTCTGACAATTGAGCTACTTCCTTTGGCTTCTTTGACAGTGTTAACCTTGGTCTACCCCTCAGCTACAGATACTGCTATCTTTGTGCATTCTCATGTCAGTATTTACAAGGTCACACAAAAAGCAGCAGTCTGCTCTTGCTCAGCTTTGCTAAATAAAAGAGAAAACATGTCTTTCTTCATTGGTATCAGCACTGTCACAAATGTCAGAACACATAAAACCTCAACTCAAGCACCATAAAAACAACAATGCACAAAAACAGGCCTTTGCTAAAGGCATCTCAATGAAGGTGACCAGAGCTGGCTCAGTGACCATGTATCATTTTGCTGTTACTTAGAGAATTTGGTAACACAGAGCATATCAGTAATTTTAGAACAAAAATATACTGAAAAGCAAAGCCTAAAATGAAGTAAATTGAAATTCTCTCAAGGAAAGGCAGTGCAAGGATAGTATTTCAATTTAATTGGAAGTTTCTGAAGGTGTAGCTAAGGTGAAAAAGAGGAAACAAACAATGGTTGTATTCATTCCGATTTACTGATTCCCTGTATTCTGTAATCGCTCTCGCCAAGAGTAACTTTTCATGACATTAAGTGCAAAACAAGCTCTAAAAAGCTTGTGTGGCCTGTTTGAAAACATACAGTTTCAAAATCACTGTTTATTTGAAAGATTTACCTTGCAGAAAGAATGAAGGATCTCTCTACACTTTCAATGTTCAGTTCATTCTGATATGCTTCCTGCGTTGGCTTCTTAACCTTTAGCCGAGAGAGAAAACTTCAATTCAAACTGAAATGGTACTTTTGTCATTGCTTTAGTCTTAATTCCTTGAAAATCTCTTTATTTTTATTGCAGAAGGAGAACACTGGAGAGAAAATACTCAGAAACAGGAAATTATACACCAGCCCAGAGGGCCCAGCTACACTAAGATTACACACAGCCCATCCTTTTATTTCACTGGCCGTCCTACAAACCCTGGTGATGTACAGGGGAATGAAGCTCAAGAGCTGTCAGACACCTTCCACACAGGCCCAGTCATGTTGCCTCAAGCACCTCCTGCAACTGGACAAAAAAAGGCATTGCTGCTGCTGCAGGATGAGATGTAGCCCACTGGTGTGCACCAGAGTGGGCAAGGGCTGCACTACCCTGTTGATCCTTCTGAGCCACCAAATTTCAAACTTAAGGAGGATTAAAAATCAGGAGTGGGTCTGAGCCACTGCAAGACATCTGCTGGCAAAAGAGATTTTGTAGCTCTGCTTGCAAAACTTTGGACCTGAGTGCCAGATATGCACTACAACTTGACTTGGTGATTTTTTCTGACAGGACTGGAGACAATGATTCCCAAGGCAATGATTTGTTGTTCCCATTAAGTGTCATGTCAGCAACTGAGTCATTATATTGCATGCATGTCCCTTATCATTACCCAGGGGGCTCAAAGCTTAACTTTGATGCTTTTCACAAGTGCTCAGGAAGAAAAGTCGTATCTTCCCTCACAGTTAGCAAATATATAAACCAGAGAGAACTGATCCACCAGGATTTTATCAGGCAAAGATGCCTAATCTCTGGGTGTCAGAAATAAAAAACAGTTAAAAGGCAAAAGTGAGGCAGTCTAAACAAAATACAAAAAATTAGTAGGCAGACTATTCCAGAGTAGGACAACACTGGGTGAAATGCAGCCAAGATGATCCTGTAGCAACAGAATATTTAGGGAAGCCTAGACAGCAATTCCACAGGCCGCATTATGCAAAAAATGTCAAGCTTGTAGGATTGCTCTGGAACAATATAAGCATATTTAATATCTCTTGCCAACAGTAAACACGGTTAAGTTTTCAAACTTGGAAGGCCTGAGTTTAGGTAGATTGGAAGAAAGGCTCAGTTTAACAAGTGACTCACCTTCATTCCAGCCAACGACAGCATGTTGTTGAGTTTATACATCCCTGATTGAACTGGAGTAGTATACAACAGGGCATCATTGAACTGTAAAACAGAATGCTTTTAATGACTAAAGTTGGTTAAAATACAGATAATTTCAGATAGATTTTACTGGAAGTACAGAACTCCTACAGCACTGAGATAACTGTCCAGAAGTATTCCCTACTTCCTACTATTCCACTTAGAATCCAAGAAGCATTTTCATGTATGAATTTAGATAACAATAGGTATCTATTTATATCCTCCTTGTGTAAATATACATTTGGCACATGACTAAACAGTGCACGGATGTTAAAGAACAGGCTGTCAAAAGGGACAAAAATGTTTCTGGTGTACACAGGTATATAGTATAGCAAACTACTTTACAAGGATATTAGAATTAACCATTCAAACAAATCAAAGCAATACAGAAACTAGGAGATAGCAGAATGTTTTAGCAATTTGTAATGACAAACTTAACTGTCCCTTGTGAATTTTACCAGTTTTAAGTGCATCTACTGTTTATTTCCTGTTCTTCCAGACTTGGATTCGTTGAGTGCACTTACTGAACAATAACTAAGATTTTTTTATTTTCTGTGCTGTTCAACACATGGATCCAAACTTCATTTACTACATATAAACAAATACCAAAACTTGAAGTGCCTCTTAAGTTTTTGCTATGTGACTCTTTGTAAAATAGCCAAATGTTTAAAATTATTACTAAATCTTCACAACATGATAAATGGAAAAATCACTGCGTCTAATGGTATGAATGCTAGCCTGTACCATTTATATCTATGAAAAACCACAAAGCAAACAAAACCCTTGCCCCATAAAACACAGAGAAAATCCAAGAGACACAGAAATTAGCAATATCTAGTCTGTGAAGCTTGAGATAGCACCACATTTTTGAGAGTATTTCAGTAACTGGTATAATACACACTCCAGGACTGCCTAGGGAAGTATTTCTTCATATCAGGGTAGCTACAAGACAGGATTCAGACAGGACTGTGGACCAATAATGGAATAAATTACAGGATAACAGCTGTTTTACTGTCTAAATAGAAGAGATAAACAAAAGGTTCAAGTGGAAACAGAAACTTCAGAGATGCACAGAAGTTTCAAAACAAAGCAGTAGCAGAGACAGGAAAAGAACTCAGTACTTAACTTCCACCCAGTGCTCTGCTCAGGATGCACGTGGGCTCCTGCAAGGGCAAGGAGAGAGGAGGAGGGAGACGGGAGGAAGGAAAGGAGGGAGGGAAGGGTGCAGAAGCAGTGACAAGAGTTGTAGGTTTTAAGATTTGGTGCAGCTCAGAGAGAGGGAGTAACTGTGCTACCTTCCACAGTGCCACAGATAATGTCTTCTCATGAAAGCGCTCAGATTTTAAATGAGCATTATTCAAAATAGTATGCTTTAATGTGAAATGATTTCCCATAAAAATTTGTGCATATGCCACAGATAATATCTCTACATTAGAACTGACTGAATAGAACAGCAACAATTTAGTAATTTTTTCTACTACCTGCAATTTTAGTTATGCTTGCAGTGTAATGTTTTAACCACTAAAAATTACACTAGGATAAGGCACATAACAACATACATAGCATCTTACCAGAAAAAACATTCTTGGCTGCATGACCTTTCGTGATAGCTTCATCAGTGTTCCCTCTTTCAAAAAGACCTAGTAAATTAAAACAATGAATGCAAAACTTAGCCTTTTAGGGCACAAGCCATGCAAATGAACTAACTTTTTTATAACTATTATCCTGATTATTATTATTACTACACTAGAAGTGCTGCACAAGTTTTGGGATTCAGAGTTCCCTTTCTGAGAAAAGCTGTTTATCCTTATGTTTCTCTAAAAGTGAGTGTGGATGACTACATTAGTTTCCCATGCTGCACATGAAACTATGAGAAATAAAGGGTTAAGCTTGAGCACAAAAACCTGCCTGCAAGATCTGGCAAGGAATCATAATCTAAAAATTCTAAGTTTCTGTCAGAGAAACATCTAAAAAACCCCCACACATAAGGAGCACCAGTATTCATTTGACTGCTAGAACCTAATAATGAAGCAAGGGACCAATTTTCTTCTTTGTATATTCCAGCATCAGTCTTTGCTTGAATATCATCTTCACTTTCCCTGCAATCTGCTGAATGCCATGGGGCACTTACCCTTCCTGGCTGGACAATCTCATGGTGTCCATTTAAACTGTATTGGATCTGCATGAGCTTCTGAAAGTTATCCTAGGAGGGGAAAAAGCAGAAGGTAAGTACTTGCCCTTGCATTCATGATTTATTTTAAGGAACAAAAAAAAAAAGAGAGAAAGAGAGAGAGATAGAGAGAGAGAAAGAGAAAAAGCTTTAATCAATCAGCTTCATATGGCAAAATACTTACTCCCTGCTTCATAATGTCATTGGCATGGTTTGCAACTTCTATAACAACAGCTAAAGCATCTGAAAGATGAAGGAATGATGTTTTGGTTATACAGATCAGTTAGTATTGGTATCATGTAAAGCACAGATACCATACTGCATTTCCACATCATTCCAAGATTGTGGGATGTTATTGTACAGACACTGCATTCAGGAGCACTTCCCAAAAATCCCAGTCTTTGGATCATGGTTTAATAAGTATGCCCCATTAAGTCATTGCTTCAACCAACAGTGTGAATTATTTCTTACAGTTACTCAAAACATAGGCAAAGCTAAATTCCAGTTTCTCACACAACAAATTACTTGCTATACTTACAGCAGAAAAGTTAACAACATTTTAACAGAGACTCTCTAGGGACTAAGTTTTTGCCATTTTTACCCAAATGCCATCAGTGCCATTCATAGATGACTACCTAGAAAAATTATATAAATCTTTGTCATTTCTATCTTCTGCCTTTAGTTTTTCTGCCCCTCAAAATAACGGTAAAGTTCAAATTTCTAAATTTTGAACTTGTAATGCCAAAAGAAAAATAAATCTCTGGAAAATGTTACCAAATATGAGCAATTTTATTAAGTACTGATATTTAATAACCAGAAAGATCAACTGTGAAAGAGCCTAAGGTGTAAGTGCAAAAAGCAGTTATATAAAATGATTATGTGAACACAGTGAGTCATCAGTCCAAGTCCAAGAATCTATCCCATACAAGGATCTTATCCAAAAACCTGCACTTTACTTAAGTTAGAAAAATGACACTTAACCAAAAGCTGGAACAACTGCTGTGCTGAAATGTAGTCTCTAAAGCATTTAGCACCTTGAGTAACTGAATTACAGTCAAGCACTTCAAAGAAAGGAATAAATTTGGTTAGAAGTCCACAGAGAAGCCTACCAAACCAGGTAAAACCAAGGCCTTGGTTTTTTTCCTAGCTAATCATTAGAGTATTAATACTGTAGAATGCATATACTTCCCTTATTGTTGACTCATATTTGGAAAGAAAGTATGTTAAAAGATAGAGCTTTCTGAACTGAAAGGTTCAGAACCTCATGAAACCATGTAAGAAACTAAACAGACACGAACAAAAAGCTCTTCCTAAGCCAACTGAAGGAGAATTTTTGTAAAAGATTGTCACAAACCAAGGGGATGCAAGCACAGAGTCAAACAGCTAAGATACATAGCACATATCAAGGATTTGATCAGAATTTAAGTTGAGATATAGATGTCATGGAACCAAGCAAGCCTGCTGGAATGTAGTTGGTGGTCTCTTTCTAGGTAATGCTGGAGCTGCTTCAGGCAAAACCCTCCCCAGCTCCCACCCACATGAAAGAAGATGAAGGGAAATGTAGCTAAATTCACAAAGACAGGGATGAGCACCTGATTCTCTCTGTCATACTTTCTTTCATCTCTCAGCTACTCTATATATTAGAACCTTAAAATTTTATTTATTGACTTCAAGAAAGATTGAAGAATTTTAGAGAAAATTATAAAATTTGCTGGCTAGTGAAAGTTCCAGGATCTCAGGACTATTTATACAGCCAAGACTAAATGAATCTAAACAACAACATAAAATAATCTATAGGGTCAACGTCCATAAACAAAGTGCTTTTTGGCAGGGAAGAGCATTCCACTTATACCACTTAGCTGAAGTAATGTATTCAAATGAAGGTCAGCAAGAAGAATTGTGCTATTTGGGTTTTTTCCCAAGAGTACTAATCACAACCAAACCTAGTCTCCCTCTCCATTCCTACTCCCAGGCTCTGCATTGGAATTAAACAACTAAGCAAAGTTAGAAGTAAGATAAGCTTAATTATTACAAGAAAGATCTTGGTGACTAAAGATTAGATTTTTTTTTCTTACCCAAATTCTAAGATGGACTATCAAATATATCAGATTTCAAGTTAACACTTAGGCATTGTTATAACTGAACTTCAGCTTCTGTCTCTGATATAAGAAGGGAGAGAAAAACACTATGAAAGACATAACTACAAAACCCAGAGAAGCTGGAGAAACCACAAAAAAGTGAACTATATATTTAGGTTGCTCTCTTTTCAAGTGGTCAGCTGTTCAACATGCAGTGCAAGTATTATTTTGTTGACAGCTATAAGAAGTGCAAGATGAAATTTTCTATATCTTGAAGAGCTGTAAGTAAAATTATTTTTGACTTGTATCTTCAACACACTCAAATATGCCTAAATGTCCTAAGAAATATATTTACTCATATATTTCATGGTATTGTACCAGCAGACAAAGCAAACTTGGCTCAGTGCACTGAAGGTGTTCATTTATTGCAGCTCAATCAATTACATCTGCACAACTCTTCTAAAGGCAATGGACTTGCACAAATGTGACAGGATCTCATGCAAAAGAAATGGAAACATCAACTGGGAGCATTTTTTGTACTGCTGAGGCACACTCTGAAGAAGGAAACAGCTTGAATGTGCAGTGCATTGATATGCTTGAATTAAACCACCTTAATCCTGCACTACCATGAAATGTGTGGTCCTGTTCTCTTCATCACCAATGACTTCTCATTTCCTCTGATCTCCTTTCTCCCCACATGCAGGCAAAAACCTGTGTGAGAAACGTGTGTTTGTGCAGCTTCTGACAACTCAAACTGGAGAACTCCTCAGGTTAAATATTACCCATGGCAGCTCCTTCATCTTGCTCACTTCTGCCACATGGATGCTTTTCCTGGCACAGAGAGAGGAGGAGGCCACAAAGGCTCACAGCTGGAGAGAGCACGCTGCCTATAAAGGTCTGCAGATGCAAGGGACTGTCTCTTTCAATGGCAGTGCCTAAAATATCTGTTTAAACTGCCTGTGGAACTTCACTCTTATCTCTTGGTTTCAATTCAAGAGTGAGCTGATATGACTGCCAGCTCCAAACTTTTTTGAAGCAAAAGCTTGCAATCTTTTAGTATCTCTGGTGAGAAACTTAGAACTAAATAGAAAACATTTATATTACTGACTTAGCATTTTGCATTTAAAATCTTGAAACATTGGTACATATGCTGTTATTTCTTTAAAGACACATTTACCTTGAGTGTCCCTATAGTCTGCAGATTCTTCTAAAAGATTCTTTAAATAATCTGTATAGAGAAAAAAGAACATAGAGATAGTTTTGTTAAATAAATAAACAACACCAGAAAGTAGTAAGCCCCATCTTTTTCCTGGAAATCTGCTGTTCAGATCTGCAACCTAATTGACAAAGATCTTTATCTTTTAAATCTGTCAAGGTAATAACAAAGTGAAAACTAGCATCTCAATTAAGAAAGTATATCAGCAAAGAGATAGGTTACTGAAACAGTGGTCTTCTCCAGTGAAAAGTGATATATTGTATACATTATTCCAGAAAAAAAAAAAGCAAGTGAAAAATTAGTACATACTTGCAATCACTTACATTTAAGTTGATGTAAAAAACTTTTGAAGATTATAGATATTTGTCTGAACACCAAAACTAGTCTCTAGGAGCTATTAAAAAATAGTCCACTACACAAGATCTGATGAAGATTAATATTTTTCAGTAATAAAAACAATATACTTCCCTCAGTGTTCAAATAGGTATTTTCAGTTTTCAGTGATACTTGTAGTTCAACCACGAGATGGCAACCTCGATCCATTAAAGTCCTGGTAGTTTTAAAATCTATTTTACTTCGCTAAAATTAACTCCAAATGTATGACTACACATGAAGACATCCCCCTCGAGTTTCCATTCCCTGGCTGAGTGTCTAGTTCATGAAAAAGTGCAATACTCTGTCAAAGCTTAATATATATCCTCAGTAAAACATCAATCATGTACTCTGTAATCTTTGAACTTCTTAAAATGAAAAGAAACCAAACCAGAAACATTCCGAGAGATATACATTAGATTGATAAAGTCAACAAATACTGATTTATAATTACCTTTCAAATGAAGTATTAATATTCTGGCAGATCTAATGAAAACTAATTACATGTAATGTAGTAAGCATTCAATTTTAGCTTCTCAGTTGTACAAGCTTCACGTAGGAGTGAAATAATTCAACTCCCATATGCCTGCCCTACCCAAATTCATTCTTTCATTCAAAAAGTATCAGGAGCCAATTGTTCCTGCCTTCATAAGATGTCTTGCTTCATGCATGCCCCTCAGAGACCATTCAGTGCATTGTAATCTTTTCCTTATGCACAAAATTAAAAGGGAATTATGAAACATGTTTCTGCAGTAGAATTGCCATGAAAAGTGAGAGAAGTTGTCGCAGTTAATGAAAGCTTTGAAAAAAACAGAACTACAGGAAGAGAAACATTTGGCACTGACATTTTATTGTTTGGCAGAGACCTAAGGGAGGATCCAAGGGAGAAGCATGAAGAGCAGGTTGGGGTGCAGGAAGAGGAACCGGCTGGGAGGCAAGGAGGGAGCTCTGGGAAGCACGATTGGCTGGGCCATGGGAACACAGCTTTCTGCTCTCCTCAGAGTTCTGCTTGATCATTAGCAGGATTTGGTTCACATGTGATCTTTTAAGACAAGTCTGACCTGGACCAAAACTTTGTCTGCTGTACTCCATCAATATTGCATCCTTCATGTCCCTCAAAATCCTTGTGCTGTAGTAGCTACCAGCCATTCCAATGCAGTGTTTAGGTGGCCATATATTCAATTAAAAAAAAAATATTAATCTTTCTTCACCTTGGGTTGCTCTGGTAAGAGGCTTGTATGAGGGGGGGGAAAATTAACAGGAGGTATTTTGAAAGGAACAGGGAAGAGTTCACACCAGGTTTAATTTGGTTTAACCTGTCGCAGATACAACACCAGGTGCCCTCTCCTGCCCTTCCTGTGGATGGGTGGCCTCTAAAGATGGAGCTGTGCCAGAGCACTCTTTGGACTCCACCATTAAGCCAACAAATTAAAGCTTTACAATTGCAACTTGATGTTCATGGGAGCCAGTACAAAAGACTCCAATGGGAATCTCCCAGTAGAAAAAATGAGTCCCTACAGCTCATACAGAAATAAGACTCCCAAACTACACACTCACCTCTACAGGCTGGGAACAAGAGGTAAGGTGGGTATAATTTCCTCATCTGCAAATGTACAGCTGGCACTCTAAGACACTGTCCCCCGTACACGAAGACATCCAATTTAACATCCAAAGTAATTGCAGTGGAAACATAAAACCAGAGACCCAAGATGGGAACTAATTATTTCTTGGCATATTCATGCTTTATAACACGTTTCCCAAAACACCATTACTCAAATCCGTTTTTGGATGGGCATTTTCAAGCATTTTAAATTAAATAATCAGTGAATAGAAGAGGTAAAATCAAGATTTTTTACATAACAGCATTCATTTAAAATTACATATTTAAAACCAAAGGCAGCCTTTGTCTTACAAAACTGCAGCAGCCAATAAAACAACTGTAAAATCCTGAAAGTGATAAATAGGTAATTTTCATCTTAGTACTCTCTTTATCTGATAAGTGGACCTCAGTTCACAGCTAAAACTCAGCTTCAGAGAGGCATCAGAACAGATATTTTTAGTCTCTTCTGTGAATACACACTGGAAATTCTGTGCTTACAACAGCCTTCTGGAGGTACTGGCATAAACTATACAGACAAGCTGATTTCACAGACATGAAAAATGTTGCAGTAAAATTTTTGCAAAAGTATTCCTAGATGAAATAAATACAGAAGTCAGATATTAAGGTGAAATGGCATTTAATGTCTTTGCAAAAAAAAAAATCTCCTCTGAAATAAGCTTTTGTTGTTCAGACTAGAAAGACCTTAATTGTACCTTCTGAAATTCTTAATTCTGCTGGGCACTCCAAAGCACAGCAAAAATAAACATAAAAGCACACTAGTACTGTTTTTGTGATGAAAATTTCTGTATGCCTACTTCTACCTGACAGCAGCCCCCAGTTCTTTCTTCCCACTTGCTGGGGGAAGCGGCTATCACTTCTTCTGCTTAAAATTATCTTCTGCGTCATTAACTACTTTTTGTCTTGGGCTGTCTAAAGTAATGAATTTAAACTCAAAGCAATTGTTCCACTACATGTAATTGGCTTGAGTCTGACAACTCTATTTCCAACCTGCAAAGCTGCAGAGTGCAAAAAGGCTAATTTTTCATCCCACTCAGCCTCCCCTCACTATAACCCAGTCAAGGATAATAAAAGACACTCTCTGCCAACCTTATGCTGTGAAAAAGAGGAGAGAGGCTTATCCTATGGCAATCAAGAGCCTGTTCATATTGCATAGTCTCAAGTAATCTACTCAAATTAAGGGGGAGAAGAGAATCACCTCTTTCATTTCTCTCAGAAATCAGAAGCCTCTGATTAGGCTCCCCCATAAGGCATCTAATATTTACTGTACAGCACTCAGGGCCACTATGTGAAGAAGTGGAAGTCCACTTACTGGACTGGAGAAGCTGTATAATTAAGCAGAAACAGTGCTAAACTGTTCATCTCCTTGGCTTATTTATGAGTCCACCTGCTCCTGCTTTTGTTAGCACAAAAGTAACTCCACTTCAAAGCACCGCAACAATCTTGTGATGTGACCGAGTAGCAGCAGGTTACCAGTACAAAGCTGTCCCACTGACACAGAACATCTAAATAGGAAGAAATCCCTGCTGACTCAGGCCTGACAGCTTCATTTCCTGGATTATTTTCATTCTGCTGCTCTTGCCCTCCTCCCCACAGATTCCCCCCACCTCCGGCCTAGGCAGCTGCTCCGTGGCTACATCTCACCCACTGCAACAAAAGATACAAATGTTTTGCACGTCCTCCAGATGTTCATATAGCACAAGCTTAGAGAGGCATTGCTCACTATTACACAGAGCTGTTGGAAGGTAACTAAGCAGATGGGTGATCCACAGAGACAGGGAAGAGTCAGAACTCAAGGGCAGCATACATGCACGAAAGACTGAACAGGCTGAAAATGAAACAGATCCAAAACATCACTCTCCAGCTCCAGCATCATTAAATTCTTGGCCTGATCTATTTTATTGTTCCCATAGAACAAGAGAAAATTATGTTTCTAAATTTGCCACCAGTACGGCAATCCCATTCCTTTCAGCAGCATTTGCAGGTGTATTTAAAGCTGGGCAGCCACAGTAAGGTCTGCAGATCGGGGACCCCCACAATAACCCCCATCAGCACAGGATGAGGCTTTTTTCAGGTCTAAAACATTCTGTCCCAGCCACAATGACAGCTCATCATCACAAGGAATTCCCCTTCAACATCTGAGCTTTGTTTCAGTGCCATCCATCACTCTGCTGTGTATATTGACAATGGCATTTGCTCCATCCTGATCCCCTATTCAACCAAACTCCATTTCAATTAAAACCTGACAACTTACCCAAGGCTCCACTGATTTTGAAGTGTTTAACAAACTATACCATGTCCTAAGTGAGTATCCCTTTAAAATAAAGCAAGTCCCCCAATGCCTTTTATGGGTTGATTTCATCAATTAAGTATCATTAAGGTTTTCCCCTACAAAGTAGTCCATTTAATAAGAGTTCTCCCCCTTTTTTCAACACCTTGAGTTTAACGAGATGATTAAAATGAAAAAAGTCAGTGTTAATAATTTGGAAACTGCTCTATAACACTTAAATCTGAATCTGCCACAGCATCACTAGTCTAAGTACATGCTGGGGAAATGCCAATGAGCTGCTACAGAGCCAAAAAAAAAGGTCACGGAGCATTTTATTTTGCAGTTACTACATAAACAGAGGTTATTTTTAAATTGCTCATCAAGAAGCAATGGCTCTCAAAAACAATGCCTTAAGTATTTCCAAATCCTTACAGGAGCCATCCCCCTCTTACTACAAACACATCTCAGAATACTTCACAAAGGAGGCCTCTGTCAGTGCCCTCCCTTTACAGACAGAAAACCCACTGCATCATGGAGATCACTCGCTCAAGGCCACCCAAACACACCAGTGCCAGCACAGAGTACAGAGCCCAGATTTCCTAGCTACAAATCAGCTCCTCAGCTGGCTCTGGTAGCAAGTCTTAAGCACTTACTGGTGTGCACTAAAAACATGTGTTTTGCCTTTAAAAGAGAATGGATTTTACAGACAAAATACCTGGGTGGGGAAGAAATGGAGAAGCAGCTCACAAAAGTTCACAGTTGCATAGATATCTTTCTTATCATTGCTCCAATTTTCCATACAGCCTTTTTCATTTGTTAAACCCCCATCACCCCAAAAAACCAAAACCCAGAGCAGGACAGGAGCATTTCAACCCTTTGAGGAAGTTACAGGCTTCTATTACCACAGATTCTAGCAAAAACTGTCACAGGTTTCATGTTTTCTATGTATTGTTGAATCTACCATCAGAACACACCACAGTGCTGTAAACATTAGGACTTTGCTTGTGTATCTTACCACAATCAATATTAGCAAGAAAAGCCTCTAAACCCATGCAATGTTTTAAGAAGAGCTTCACATACTGTAACTTGTTTTAAAAAAGCCTCACGTATGTGAAATCAGACAAACACAATTTACAGATGGATACAACTGTCTGAAAACAGGTGTCCTGGGGCATGCGAAGACTGGCTTCTGAAGCCTGCAAAAAGCTTGACTGTACCTGTCAACAGAAGCCTGTACTGGGGAATCCTCTGAACTGGCTTGAGCAGATAGTGCTTGAGGGCCAGACTTGCACAGCGGGGGCTCATCTGAAAGAAACACCCAAAATAAATAACAATTCCACAGCAGTCAAAGGTTCCAGCAAAAAAAAACATGCCTCCAAACAACTACTGATTATACTGGATAAGCTTTTTATCTTTGAAAAGTGATACTGCCACAGTGTTAAGCACCACGCTACAGAGCAAGCATTTCCATGTGGAAGACTGCATGCAGAATTACCCATGCATGAAAGACACTAGTAAGCACTCATATTCTGTAGATTCAAAACAGGTGCTTTGACCTAGGAGGAAGAGAGGTGAAGCCCCCCAGAAATAAAGGAAAAAGGATAGCAAGGGCAACATGCTCCTTTGTGATCGCTGTCAGTGTTCATTAGGCAAAAAGACAGAGAAGACAGGAGTGCTCACTGCAGGAGTTTTAATTAATCCACACCTCTAAAGACAACACAGAATTAAAAGATCCACGCTTCAAAAATGCTAATTATCTTGAGTTTGCATTCAAAAAAATCCAAATCTGCAACATTGCAGAATTCAAAAGGCCTCTTGTCTTCTTCCTGTCTTAAGCCTAGACTGCAGAAAAAAACCCCATCACCAAAACACAAACAAATTAAGGACAGTTTCTAAAGCCCAGTGAAGGATCACAACTGCTAAGACGGCACAAACCAGGTTATACTTTAAAAAAGAATACAATACCTCAAAGTCTTTGACTACTGATGCAAATCCTGCATTCTTCTTACACTGTTCGTCTAATAATGCAACATTTTTATCAAATTCTTTGATGTAAGTTGAATACATCTTTAGGTAGGGACCCTTTTTAACAAATATGTCAGCAATTCTTTGATGCTCAAGCCTAGAAACGAACAACAACAAAAAAGATGCAATTAGAGCTAAAAATAGCATACATCTTAACCCTACAGCAAAACATCTCTCTTTTTCAGAGTAAGATGTGCTAGTTTATGCTCTGAACAAAATGCTTACAGCAGATAGGTTCCCATCTCAATTGCTATTCTGAAACACCTTACTAGGCACACGTCAACACACTAGTGTTAGATGACAACCACTTCATATACAGTCTTTTAAAAAGGGTCTTGAACTGTTTGAACACTTTAGTTCAAGGTGAGCAAAGTCCTTACCCATTGCAGTGCCTTTGTCAGTGAGTTTTGTACAGCTCCACCCACCAGTGGTAACTGAGAATGATCTTCAAAGGGATTGTGGCTGTCAATCAGCGCTGTGCCTGATAAGTAGATCTAAACTACCTCTAAAATACAAACCAGTCTTCAGAACAGCCTCCTTTTTCCCTAAAGAAATCAGTGCACTTATCATACTCATGCAGGGGCCAGAAATTTCAATTCAAAATGAAATTTCAAATAAAAACTGTGATTGCTACAAAAATGTATTGACATGCCTTCTGGACCTTTTGGGATGCATCTAATGGCACAAAAGCACATCTAAATGAAAAATAATCTCCTATACTTTCAAAGTACATTCTGACATTTAGGAAGGTACATGAAACACAAACAAGAGTCAAACCATTATCACAGTCACATAAAGCCCCCAGATAAATTTCAACATCAAAGGAGTGGAATCCCTTTAGTGATAGTTACCAGTGAGACAATCGCTCCTCCAATTCCCTCAGGAGGTCCCGATTGAGTTCATAGAGCTGAGGTAGGTAGTAGAGGATCTGGTTCAGGATTCTGTCCTCAATCACCGGCTTCCCCAGCTGCCTGGAGGCATGAGCCACAGCATCCCTGAAATCCTGCCAAGCACAAAGAGCACAGAAAACCCCCTTGCCATGAGTGAACAGCCTTCAAAGCACCAACACTGAGTGTGCAAAGGAGCTCTCATCACAGACATTCCAGACACTGCTCCCTGTTACCCAAGGCAAGGCAGGTACCATCTGGGTTGTTTTTCTGCAGCTTCCATTTACTCCCCTGGGACTGCCTTAATCCTTTTGGTTTGACACTGGAACTTTACTTTTTTGGTCCTGTATGCATAATATAGAAGTTGTTCATTATTTTTACAACAAGCCCTTAAGAAATGTGTTAGAATTACTTATGATGACACTAAGGTGGGCTAAACAAGGCTTGTATCTGCAAGGCTACTGTCAGCCTAGAGTGTCTTCTGGCAAATATGTAAGTCAAAAAAAAAAAACTTTTATATCAGCTAATACAATCATAGTATCTTAAAAACCAACCTAGTGTTCATAACTCATCTGCAAATGCCATTTTGGTGGGCAAAAAACTAGGATAAAAAAAATTACTAGATATAGCAGCTCTTCCATATACAGGGAAATTAACATCTAACAAAAAGATACCGTGACAACATGGGAATCACAAGATTTCAAATGTTGGCAATGATCAAAGCCAACACTGACTGGTACCTTTGAGACATTTACAAGGGAGGAGGATCCTACTTACTCTTGAAGGATCTTACAGCATTTTTATGCTATAACCAGCTCCCAACAGGACACAGCTGAGGCTCATTGGTCCTCATTAAACTACTCAAAATTAAAATCTTGATCCCACACAAATCAGCATTGCCAAGATTGAAGTTCAGTATCCATTACTCAGGGTATATTTCCTATTCACAAGCAAATAAATCTTTCAAAAAGTTCAGCAATCTAGCATTTTACTTGAAAAACAACACTGTCTTAACTGACAAAAAAGAAAATATAAATTACGTAGTGTTACATAGTACTGTGTCTCACTTAAATTTGGGCAAAAAGAGAATTAAGCAGCTCTATTGGAGTTTGTGATTAACGAAACCTAATATCACATGCATGATCTGCAGGTATCTTGAAAAAAGTAACGAACAAAATGTTCTAAACACTGTAATAAGTTATATTTTAAATGCGAATGTGGTCCTGAATGCCTGTCTTTGGAAACCTGTAGGGTCCTCAGGTTGAGGAAAAAATTAAATTAATCCCCCTTTTCCCCCTCCCTAGGTCTACCACTACAGCTCTTATTAGCTATCCCATCAGTCCAGCATCTGGCACTATTTAGGGTCTCTCAAACCGAAGCCTCCACTTTCCCCTGCTCTCCCTGTTCCTTACGTCAGCTCTGGCAACGTGAGCTCCAGACACGCTTTCTTGCTTTCTGACCCTCTGGGTCACAAAGGCTGTGACTGGGCACTTCTGACAAGAAACTGAAACGAGATACAGGGCACTGCCTGTAACTGGGGAAGGCTGAGAACTAAATGCAAGGGAGTTAAAAAACAGATGGCGTTATTCATATGGAAATGTTCTGGTCTACATCCTCTGTGCAGACTAGTGACACATAGGTTAACTACCAGCTGCATCTTATAGGTTTTTCTGACCCTGGGGCATTGCTTAACACTGAAATGATACATGGAATTACAATGGCAAAAGCTCAAATGAGGCATTCTGGAGAGCTTCATGCAAAATGCATCATCATATTATGATAATATTCTTCCCCCACCCCCAATTGTATGTACACACAATGTGCTGTATGTATTTTGCCATAGGATGAGGCAAGAATTTGGTTTGAATGTCATAAGGCGATTTGCACTTTTCTGATGAAAAGCAAAGCAGCTTTGTCTGTACTGTAATCAGCAACCCAGGCTTTCCCCTCACCAAACAACAAAAGGAGAGCAGGGAGCCAGGTTTAGGCACCACTAGATAACACAGGAACGTCAGCTGTAGTTAAGAGCATTTATTTAACTTCCAGATACAGCATTCAAAGAGTCTGCAGGGCGTTTTCCAAATACAGATTGGGTTTTTAACTAGCTTGACCCAAAGTCCATCAGCTTCATTATGGTTTATAGATTATGCCATGAAAGGCTCTATTCTATCATTGAAAGAGCCAACCAAAACTTACTTCATCACCCCCTATATCCCCTTCCGCAACTGAGTAAACTGAGGAAGTGCTGCAGAGAGGAAATGCAGGGAAAAAAGATAATGTGAACCTTTCAAATTTCAAAAGCCTGCAAAACAACAAGAGATAAATTTCAATGCTCTTTTTTAATATTTTTTTTAAATTATCTTCATTACTGACTATGCATTTGTCACTGTAATCATATTAAGATTTATTTTTAACCTGGCAGTGGGTGTGAAGTAACTGTCATGCCAAGTTCATCTTGAGATAAACTCAAGAGCTGAATGCAGAGAGCACATGCCTGGGGATCGGGGGTGGGAAAAGAAAAACAAATGTAACAAGGCTGGAATTACCAGTGTTTACACTTGAAGGTACTGGCCTTCCGGGAAAGTAATTTCATATCCAAAAGGACAAAACATAGATCAGGTCTGTCTTAATTACCAGATGTAAAATAGCTAATTTACAAACTAAACCCTGAAATTTCACCCCAAGGGGTGGAAAGTGTTCAGATGACAACTTTTAGTGCAAGTAGCTGAATGGCTTAGAAATTAGAAACTGCAGTAAAAGTAATTTAAAGTACCAGCACCTAGCTCCCTCTAAATCTAAATCAGTTCACTGCTAAATAAAAGCAGAATTCCTCTTGCAAATAATATAGACATTGCTCTGATATCTGTACACGCCTGCATGATGTGATTTATATTACAAACATATTTAGCACATTGTCCTATATAAAACTGCTGAAGAGCACTGCTTTCATCAGCCTGTTCAAAGGCAATCACCTAGGCTGTCCTAGAAATCATTCTGTTTAAAGCAATGCAGCAATCCATTACAAGAGAATGCTAAAGACAGATTTTCTAATTAAAAATGTATCTTTCAAATACTGAAATCTTACTCATCAAAAAAAACCTAAAAAAGAAAAAACAAATCCAAAAACCAACCTGCCACACTTTGAAATTAATGTGCTTATTTCACTGAAAAACATTTGCAACTCTAGACGTGGTTCATATGCTGCATGACAAAACCCAAAATATTATGCTAGTTATAATGAATCACCCCAGCTTTTTACCAGGATTTTTTTTTCCCTTTCAGAAGTGGGGAGGCTACTGTACATTTTCTGAAATGCTGGTTTACAGTTTCTAGTTTTACATTATATTCTAGTCCAATAATAATCTTTTTATATCACTTTTTACTGATAAAGTAAAGGTAATTGTTTTCCCACAGCTCCTTCAAGAGGACAGCACACACTACCATCCTTGGAAAGAACTTTCTTTCCAAACCAGAAGTAGTTTTATTCTATGCTAGGCTAAGACAGCCTCCCACTGGGTACTTATCCACATGAAAATCTACTCTAGGCACATTAAAGGCTTCTGAGCACATACTGTTGCTGAATTGTTGTCTGATAAAACACTTCCAACTTGAAAATGTGTAAGAAATTCTATTTATCCTGTTAGTATACACCCCCCTTAGAGCTGTAGAGTTCTTAGCAATATTTGAGGAGGTTACCATCATCACTGCTTTTGTTTCCTCACACCACTCCTTTAATCCAACCTCCTTAAACAACCAAAAGGCTGTGATATCTGATAATTCTGATCCTGTTCTGAATCATCTGCAATCAGCCCAGGCACTTCCCCTATGCAAAGACCTGACTCACAATCCCCCAGTTCTTCCCATCAGAGGATTCCCAGCCTGCAGTGATCTGCCCATGTCAGTATAAGGAGCAAAGGACAATTTTAGTCGTAAATCAAAAGAGGTACTGAGCAGACTAAAACCTTGCTCAGCTGCTGACTGGGTCAAGTGCACCTTCAGGTACCTAACAGCTGAATGAAGATTATTTCAAATGAGTGAAATTAAAACTTCTTGCCCATTTAATAGGAAGAGAAAGTATTACATAATCTAAACATAGTCATGGATTCTATCCCTCACGCTTCAACCAATATTCATCTTAGATCTGTTCTCCCAGAACATACCATCAGAAAATAATAATAAAAAAAAAAAGGAACACTGAAGAACAACTCCCCCAGCTAAATACACCTGCAGATAGCTCAAAGATCAGTTTAATTTAAGGAAAAAAGAGCATGTTTGGATTTGGGTGCTTTTCAAGGAATACACACACATACAGACATCCTATGGTGAAGGAGGAGGGAAGAGGAGGAAGTTTCACAACAGCCAGGCTGCTAGATGTGACAAACTGTAAACATGACTGCTTAGCAATACAGCTACAGAAGATTTCACAAATAGATTATGTAAAATATAAATAGGCACTCCTAGCTAGAGTCAGACTATTAGCCATAAACTGCTAAGTTAAACTACAGCAACTATAGTTAATCAAGACAATGACTCAGTGTGGATCATATTTTTCAAACATATGCCATTACTTTCAGAAAGCTGCCACACAATTCCACACCTTTTGTCTCAGGTAATAAAATAATTTATAAGCCCTTAACCAAACAATGTATTTGATTTTTTTACAATAAACAATGATTTGACTGTGGCATATTCCCAGAACGCTATTTCAGGCAATAGGCTGGGTAGTAGAACAATACTTCCTTCTAAACTAAAACTATTATATTAGTCTTCTCAGTAAGAGGACCACAGTTCCAACTCACTGTCAAGTGTCTTAGCAGCTCTAAAGCACATCAGAGACCAAACATTTGTCAACATATTCACCTCAGACTGGTCAAATATTGAAATTTTGCAGATGGAGGAAAAAGAGTTGGATGTTGAGAGAATTTTTCATGGTCAAACAGTACATCAGTTGTAAGCCAGGACCCAAAGTCAGAACTTTGCTCAAAGGCCATAGCTATTTTATTTTCCATTACATTCTTCTTTCAAATCTACCATGAATTATTTTTCATAATGCTTGGCTGCAACAGACATCAGTTTATATCCATCCATCCATCTATCTATCTATCTGTGGTTTTTATATACAGAATTTTGCCATTTTCTTCTGAAAAATGGTAACATTAAACCAGAATTTTTCACTCTTGTGTCTCTGAAAGGACACACAATAGAAAACTATGCTTGACCTCTTATCTGCCTTGTGCAATAAGAGGTTGATCTTGTGGCTGCAGAAATGCTAAGAGGAGCCTGCTGACAAGTTCCTACTTACTTGGGCTCAGAGTCCAAATATGGACAGAACAGGGGTCTAAGTCAGAAGCACAGATTTAAAGGCTCAGGCAAAAGCCCACCGGCTTTTACTCCTATAAGGAGTAATCTCAAAAAACCAAGTTCCTCTGCTGGACCAGAAACCTTGCTGCTTATACCAAAGCAGCAGGGAGGAAACAGAATCAAAAAGAGTGGAAAAACAAAAAGGGTGGAGGGTTTTAGCAAAAGAACAAAATTCAGAACAAAAATGTACAAAAAAATGACAACAAACAGCCAGACAGCTTACCCTCACAGTGCCAGGAAGCTGCTGAGGAGGTCCTCTCACTCATGCAGAGCAAACCATTTCCAAAGAATCCCACAACAAAGAAGTACAAAGGGCACCAATCCTGCCTTACTCCTTTTTCCAGGAATACTGGTTGTTTTTCAGGCACAGGGCAACTCAGAGAGAAGTGATAAGCTTGTTTCTCTTATGTCACTGTATTTTACACCCAGCTCACAGTTTCTTTTTTCTGCAAGCGTCCTTAGGAAAAAATAGCACTTCTCCCATATTGTCAACCCTGGTTCACTCTCAGGAGGCAATGCATGAACCATCTCATAAATGTGCATACAGAAGAGCCAGTTTGATTTAAGCTCCTTTGTTTCCAGAATTTTCTGAAAACATTTTACTGGAATCTCACCCTAAAAGAGCACTAACACAGTAATAGAAATACAGAGAATTCAAGATTACATCTAATGTTGATTACATGCTCAAGCAACTCCATTTGCTGAGTCTGATACTGTGTGCTGTGTGCAAAGCCAGGTGATCCCCTTATCTCTGTTATGACCAGCTTGTTTAGTATTTACAGAAGTATCACCAAGTGTTTATTATTTTGCAGTGTGTCTTCAAGAGAAGCAGTCAGATGTACTTGTAGTGTGCCACAGGGTCCACACAGGCTGGCACTCTGGTATCTTGGAAGAGTTGCTCTTGACTTTGTCAACATAAAAGAAAAAATGCTAAAAAATTTCAGTGGTACTTGTAACTAGTTTGCAGTCACATTCCTACCTCCTCAACTGCTTTAGATTCCACTTCAAAGGCTCTAAGATGAAGCAAATTAAAAAGCTTTTTTTTTCATCAACAGTCCTCTTCCTTGGTGCCATGTGATGCATTTAGCTGACTTTGGTAAAATATACTGAAGAGAGTATTTTACATTCTTAGATCATTGCTATTGGAATTATTCACTAAATTTCAAGTGGAAAACCACTAATAGATGGCTCAGAAGGTGCAATGGAGCATCCCTCAATAAGCCAAATCTTTACTATGGGTAAAAGAGCCCAATCTGGGTAGAATCTAAGTTCTATTTCAGAAATTTGTCACAGGTTGCTTGACTGGCTGTTAGCAAGCCAAAGTGGTCAGTGCACATGAAATAAAAAAGATAATTTTATCAACATTAAAATATTATCCATAAGAAATATATTATTAAATTAACTGATTTAATAATGTGTGTGAAAAACAAACAAATTCTCAGGCATACCACCCTGTGGAAACAAAAACTGTGTGTCTACAACCTTTCTCAGCTATGGCAGTTCTTATTTAATGAAGAATGCACACACACACAAAGCCTCAAAACCAGTGCCCTCTCTGACAAGGACACCCACCAAGGTTCCTGCTGCAGGCCAACTGACAAGCTAAGGACAAAGTATTTCCTAAACTCCTAGCCTAGCATCCTCCCTCTTAGACCAGGCTGAATACATGTTGATTGCCATTGCTAGCCAACAAAAACATTTCTAATATTTTTTATTTGGCAGCTAGAAACTAGTAGACTGTCATGAATAGAGTAGCAAATTATCCATTAAAGGAAAAGCAAAACACATCCTACACCACTGCACACCTACACTGTGGAGAGAGCTTTAAGTTTATCCCAGAAACTTCATAAGCTCTCTACTCTTCCCTTTTTCATATTGTTCTTCTGCTTGCCTGCATCCTCCTTACCAACAGGCTTTCTTCCAGTACTGCACATACTACCTAAAAATCTGGTACACTGAAAAGCAAAGATACCTTTAACAAATAAATTAAACGACTGAAAAATGTGATAATTTAAAATTACACAGCTTAAAACTTCTCTAGGACAACCCTCTTTCTTTTGTCAGTATTTAAGATTAAGTTCAGTATTAGAAACCATGTTGAATATAAATTATATATTGGATTCAACTGACTGAGCCAGCTCATAAAAACCAAGCTTGAACAGAATCAGAAAAACAGTTACTAGGAGGAAAGCTAAGAGGAATCAGCAAAAGATGTGGTGAGTTTTTTGTTCCCTGAAAAAAAATCTCTGCATTACAGGACTGTATACAACCATCTATAAGAGCCTTTGTTCCCAGTTTCACAGAACATGCTTCTCAAGGGACTGAGACAGACCAATGCATCTGTTTGCAATATAACCATTTCTACTGCCCAAGGAAAAAAAACCCACTATGTTTGCACTTAATAGAGTGACAAAATGGTACACACACATGTAATTTCAAACTTGACAGAAAACACGCAAAATAGAGATAGAGAAAGAAAAATTCTTCATTAATTTCCTCTTATCACCTTCAGCACAGCATGTTTTGCAGATGACTGATCTGCACAAACACAGATGAAATATTTAACCCTGGCTGTGTACAGCACATTGCAGGTACTACAATCACAGGTGTTATCAGAAAGCAAATGTCTGTCAAGGAACTGCAGCCTCACAAAAATACACTGCTATGGTGATGGATGCACCATTGGAGCTATTAGCTATTAATTGGATTACTTCAAGAATGTACCATTTTCATGTGCCAGTTCTAAAAGAAATTGTTCCTGCCCCCTCCACCATTTAAGGAGTTATTTTAACCAGAATCTTTATTTTTGGTGTTATGTACATATTTATAAGCCAGTACAAGCTGGGTTATAAATATGATTATGATTAACATAAATTGATATATATTAAATTTTCAGTATCCAATACCCACACTCAGCTGGAAACTGCATAAATTATTAAGGAGATCCAGAAGGAACCACCAAAATATTCATCCATTATGTAAAATATGAAACATTAAAGTACAGCCTAATTAGATTAAATTTTATATTTTGAATATGTAGATGCAGCAGTGAAAAGGCACAGTCACTACCATAAACATAAAACTTTAATAGATTAAACAAATGGAAGAGGAAACTGCTTTTTTGTGAGTACTTACAATGTGTAAGAGCTTTAGCACATCGACAAACCTATCAGAAAAGCAAGAAAAAGCAAACAGTTACATTTTAATTGCCCAATTAAAATAAATTTAATAGTTATTAAGTATAGCATTGACACTTACACCTTCTCTGAGCTCATGATCTCCTTGGCAATGTGGTAAACCTTTGTTTTCTTTCCAGCTGCCTTACCCTGCAAATAAAATTACATGTTACACTATGCACCTAATAAACTGTCATAAAGATCATTTCCAGCTATTAGTTCCTTAAATTCAATGTAACTATTTGATAGTTACTTCTAAGAAAAATACTTCATACTGCTTTGAAATCTCTTGGCTTTGACACCTTCTGTTTTTTCAGGATCTGTAAGAAAATCAATTTAGCTTGTATCTGGAAACAACAGCATTAGCTAGGAGCAGCCTTTCAGCCTGTCAGCCTTTTCTTTTAATTATTATAGGAAGCACTGAAGCCCTTAATGAATGAAGTTCTAGCAAACAACAATTACTGGTTTAGCAAAAGTACTGAACTACAGGTAGTATTTCTATCTTACTTCATTCTTTGCTTCTGATTAATACAGCAACAGTAATATTTGCAGTGAACTCAAATGTGTTTCAGGAACATCTTAAAAGACATACACATTTTCTTTAGTGAAAACAAGACGACAGGAGAAAAAAAACAGAAAAAAATCACATTGAAGAGAATAGCTAGTTTCTGACAATCTACTAATGGAGCTGCTGGAATACAGAGCAACTGTACCCCAAAGATGCAGATATGTGAGCCTTGTCATTTGCCTGAAACATTGTGGAGATGATTTTGGGTCTCACATGCACATTTGGCTTCTGAAAATCCAGTGGCCCTGTCCAACCTCAGACAGAGGTAATAGGTATAACAAAGCAAACGGGGCAGGCACCGGGATGCAAACGTGTTTGCTGCTCGGTGTAACTCCCATGTAGGTTTTCCCTCAGATGGAACACCTTTCTCCAAACAGCTCTCATGGTTTGCCATATGCTTCTCTGCTGCCAGCTGTCAGCACATCTACTGCACACTCAGGCTTTTATTTTAATGGGCTGCAAAGAAAGAGAGGATGAGGAGCCCTAAAACATCACAGGATATACAGCTCAAGTGAGATGGAAGTCCTGGGAAGGCTGTATTGAGTGTGGTAGTACAATATGGGCACTGAACTGTTTATTTGGAAAATCAGGTATCAGTGGCATTTTATCCACAAAACTTTGGTTCATAAGCACTAATGTTACAAGGGTTCTCTGAAGATTTAGTTCTTCTCGAAACCTATAAGTTAGTCTCAAGTGCTGGAAAATAAACCAAGGAAGAGATAGTACTCATAGGCTGGTTTTAAAGATATTGTTGCACTCAAACTAAAAAAAAATTCTAACCTTTTCATTGGAATTTGAATGACACCATGCCTAATTACTGAATTAAAATTAATTTCTAAATTAAATAATTTTGTATAACACCAGATATGTGCAAAATACATTATTTATTTTATATACTATAGACATCTGCACACAGATCTGGAATTTTACTTATGAAATTAAACTTATTTCCAAAGAGCACTGAGATCTATCCAGTGTGAGTCAATCACATTCAGGCAAGATTGTAACACCTATTCTCAGGCCTCTGTGCCTATTTAGAAAGCACAGCTGACACACTCCCTGCAAGACTGAATTCACAAGTAAGTCAATTATGCAAAGCAAGGTATCTGCCATCACTGTAAATGTGTCAGTTGCAAATGAGATGAAAATTAGTATTTTGAGAACAAGATGCTACTGCTAAACAATTACAAAATGAAATATCACAACCCCATTCGAAAGACTTTTCACATACCAGCTGGTGCTGAAAGGGCCACTTTGCATTTGCTCAGACAAAGATACTCTGGCTCTGAGAGTCTCTAATAGTGGAACCAAAGGGATACAAATCAGGCTCTCTGGCACAACACTGGAAAGAAGCCCTGTAAGTCCCTAACAGATATAAAGCATCAAAACAGCCAGATGCTTGCAGTAAGGAAAAGTGAAACAAGCCAGCTGATGGGGGATGCAGAGACTGCCTCATTCTCCTCGGCAGCTGCTCTTGCTGTGAGAAGCTGGTTGCTAATTCCCAGCTGCCGGCCGCACGTGCCGCAGGCAGCTGAAGGAATCGGCGGCAGACGCCTCCCAGCAAGCGCTGAATTACTCCATAAAACTGCCTGAGAACCCTCCTAATGGGGACACCTTCCTGTAAAACTCCCTTGCGAAAGGCTGAGGGCATTTGTAGAGGCATGCAAGGTAAGATAGCTTCTATACAGGTAAAGTCTTGTTTGGTTTCACAGGAACAAGCTTTTCCCTGGACTTTCCCTTTCCCAATTTAGTCCTATCATTTGGTTTAACAACATTCAGGTCCAACATGCCAAGTCTTCTCTTCCAGCACTAGAAAGTTTCATTGGGTTTTTCTGTTTGTCTTGTTGGGGCTTTGTTTTTGTTTTGTTTTGGTTTTTAATTATTTTTAAAGAAAGGAAGCAGATATAACTACTATCAAAGGAAACAGCTGCTGGGACTGGTGCTGAGGAGAGGCACTGGTCTACGGGCAGGCTGGTTTCAGGGTGTCCAGGGCTGAGAAGTAAGAACATGGGTACCCCCAAAGGGAGGGACAGCACCCTCGTAACTTCATTTCATTCAGGGTAGTTAACACTGTCCTCCTGCTCCTCATTTGAAGAAGAAATAAAATTAAAATAAGGAAAATCATTCCAAGCTGACACTCACAGAAGGTAATAGAAGGTCAGACCTCAACAGGCAACAGGTGGTTTACATTTGAACATAACCCAACATGTTACAACTAATGAAAAACTGTAAGAGTGAGAATTAGCTTCATAAGATAAAAAGATACCTGTTTATCTTCTTGAGGATCAGTCTCCCCTTTACTGGAATCAGAATTTGTGTCATCATCTTCATCAGAACTGTTCATGATATCTTCTTCATCTGACTGAAGATCTCCCATTACCACATTGGGATGATCATGGTGTTCTTCTAAGGACCTAGTATTAAAATATATTCATGATACTTCAATTATGTAAAGAGCTTTTTGCTTCACCCCACATTAAATTATCTACTTGGTGTCAGACACCCTGAAAACATCAGAGGGTAGTCTGAAGATTATAGCAGTTGGAGGCTTTTCCACAGTGGACTCACAACTCTGCAACATTTTATATATGGTAGTATTGATACAATGCTCATTGGCAGCAAGCAAAAGCCACAGTACCTTTGGAGTATTTATACTATTCATGTCTATCCATCAGAGTTTGCCTAAAAACAAAGTCTGATAAATCTATTCCCTTATTGCTATGTCCATGTACAGAGCAACATTTGTACTGTGTGCAGGACAAAAAAAGGTGATAGCCATTTTGCTATCCTCTATCTCCCAGCAGCAGGTCTTGTTCCAGATATGGTACTCACACTGGAGCTTTGTGAAATTCTAGATGCCCGTATACATACAGGCCTGTTTCTCAATGCATATGCTAAACAACTGCTTCAGTGACAGCAATATCATAACCATTCTGTCCAACAACTCTTCTTAAAAGCAGCAACACAGAATCTTTTGCAATTAAGAACACCCATCCTCCCAAAACAGACACCTTTTGGAGAGCTGTCAAAGCTGTACAATCATTGCAGAGGTCTCTTTTTATTAGCTTCATCCATTTTTGCAATACAGGAATTGCATGAGACAGGCACACAATCTCCTTCCTCTAACTAGCCTTGACAACTTCAGTAGAGATTTAAGAAATGCAATTCTAGAAGAAAATAAAAAAGGGGGTAGGGAAAGATAGACAGGAAAACAGACTAGCGGAAACAGCCTTAAGTTTTTGGAAGGTTACATGGAAACACACCAAATCTCTGGGTTCCTACTTTTAATCCTCAAAAGTATCTAATTATTTCCAATTACATTAAAGCGATCTAAAAATCACATAATCTGTGTTCAAGGTCTACAAAAAGATGCTGGGATGCCACAGATTTATTGACATGAGCCAAAACTGATTAGCTATCCTGCAAAACAAAAAGCAAATCCAGGAAACCTTGTCCATGAGCTGCTGCAGCCAGCAGAGATCTCTCTGGGCTGACCAACACCTAATTTTATACAGCCAATGACTGCCAGGGCTGCACACTTCTCCATACACCTGGCCCTCTGCCTCCCGAGGCAAGGTACAGTCAGGACTGGTTTTCTCCTTGCTTTGAATCAGAGGAAAGCAGGGATGGAGGGTAACTACTCAGACTTGCCACCTCTATCTGTGGATAGAGAAGGAAAATCTGTCACCATGGATCCCACAGAAGGTGTCTGCTAGCAATCTGAAAAGCAGAAATGTTCCTCAGGGCTTGGGCTCAGTATTGGGACTGGCACTGTTAAACAGGTTTGTCAGCAACGTGGACAGAGGGACTGGGGGCACCCTCAGCAAGAGTGCCAGCAGGTCAAGGAAGGGGATTCTGCTACAGCAAAGTGTTTATTTCACAATGCTCAAGACAGAGTTAAAAACAAACAAACCAACACAAAAATGCTGATCACAAATAAAAATGTATTTGGAGGTAAAGAATAACTGGCCTGTGGACAGACCTTGGTCAGCCATGAAGGCACAGAGAAGATTAAAATAACTTGGTTCTATTATGACAACACAGGAAGGACTTGGGAAACTCCCAAGCAGTTACTGTCTCCCTTAACCAAATGGGGTGGGGGAAGGAAGGAGACTGTAAGGTCATCACTGAGCTCAACAAGGTCCTGAGCCAAGACTGCAGCACCCTGGGTGCAGAGAGACACCCTTTATTTGGGTTTGGAAATTATCAGCTCCATGCAGGAAGATGGCAGCCAGCAGAGAGATGAGTGCTGACGACAACGGCATATGGTGTATGCCAGGGACAGCTCTCATAGCGCCTCCAGAAGTTTCAGGAAGACAAAAACAGCAGCTTTTTACTGGAGCTTTCCCTGGAATCATGCTAGCAGGAAACTAAGATTTCTGCAGTTATTTATTAACTTCAGCAATTCAGAAAACTCCTTGTCTAGTTTATATGTCACTGTCAGCTGAGAATATTTATTTTAGCAGCTGCCATCTCATATGCTTTTATTATGACAAACATCTTTATTACATCAGTAGCATGACATGAGGTAGATACCTGCCCCAGCTTTAGCAAAACCTGCAACAGAAATTACTGCTGTTCCTTCCCTTACTAAATTACCCAGCTTTACCATCCACATCTGTCAATGAATCTATCTCTGACCAAGGGTATTTTTTCCTCTACTGCAAAATATATTAAGTGCTTTATCTCTGACCACACTGGAATATACTTTTTAGTCCATTATTCATTAATGGCTATTTTTGTTAATAGACATTTTATTGCCTTTTTTTCTACCCTTAATATTTGTTTTAATTGCCGTTTTAATTTCCTTTAACTGAGATTCCTTCTCATCAAGAAAACATTGTTTTCACACCTGTGACATCACTGTTCTTTTGCCTCAGCATATTCTACTGGATGCCCACTCCCAGACTTTGTTGTCATTTTTCATTTAAACTTTTCAGGGCAGCTATGCCAAAACCTAGAAGTTTTAGAAAATCTACCTTTTTGGAAGTCAGAAACAAGAATACTTCCAGATGAAGCTGTGTTTTACTTGTACAAACCCAATTCCCTCACCACTGAAGGATGAAGAACAAACTAGCTGGCTTGTGTTGTGTGAAGCAATTTCTAAACGTAAGATTAATCAGCTTATTTAATAGAAAGTTTCAGTAAAAAAAATACTTAAACATTTAAATAATTAAGTAGTGATAACTAGGATGTGTAGTAAGTGTCCACAAATGACAGCCACTCGCTGTATAAATTTTTTTTCTTCCTATAAATCACAATGTTGAAGCAGTAAGCTCCTTTTCTGGCCTTTGTGGTGCTTATGCCCATACTATTCATGTAAAGGAAGCTGTGACAGCTAAGAGAACCATGTATTAAATCTTACATACAGTGTCTACTCCACTTGTATCCTGTATTTGCTCAGTTCAGAGCACTCCGGTTCTTCCACATGATACATCTTGTTGAGGGGTTTTTTAGTGGTATTTTTAATACTTTTTCCCTTCTTTTCTTTGCTTTTTAAAGAAAGAACACATTGCATGATTAGATGATCAAGAGTCAGTTCACACTCAGCTATTTTCCAGAATCAAACAAGCCATCAGTCCAGGGATAGGATGCAATACTGGAGCCAGGGTAGATACCTTTGTGGTGATATCTGCAGTTGTGTCCTCTCCATAGAAAATGGGGACAGAGTTACTGTGTTTATTTGTGTTTATCAGCCACGTGCTGAAGAACAGGCAATTACCCTCAGACATTACACCTTAACCTCTCATGGTAAATGCTACAGCTTTTCTGGTGAAACAGAAAGCAGATCTGTATTTACTGATTACTCTTGTCTGTACTTTTACCTCTGAAGTCATCTATAACATAAGTGTTTGCATGGTTCTCTTAAAGTTATCTCTGGATAAAGTGAAATCCCTTGCACTTTAACAGCCTTTGGAAATAGTAGTAAATCTTTAAATAAACAGAGTATTTTCTAGCACATATTAATGTCCCTTTTCCAAAATACCACAAGCATGCAGTAAGGCTTATTTTAAGTGGCACTTCTGATAGGTATTTTGGGGATACTGTGAACTGTCTCTATCTTGTTCCCTCTTCATCACGATTCTTTGTCCTACCCACAGCACTACCCATAGAAACTTCTGCATTATCAGTCATGTGAAACACCAGCCCTGCCAACTCACTGTGCTGTGCACTGAGTAAGAACATCTTGCCATATCTCATGAGCAAGGAATCTAAATATAGATGTGGGGCTTTTTTATTTCACACATAAAATGAAGAAATCACTCGTTTGCCTTGGAACGAGCGGCTTATGGGATGATGCATTTATGCTGGGCTGTATTTTCCAATTGCAATAGTAAAATACTAATGAAATAAAACATGCTGCTCCTAGCAAGATAAACTGTCAAAACTTAACAATTGCCATCAGACTATTACCACTGGGAATCAGCATAAAAACCACTTATTGTCTTCAAAAGATGACCAAGACTAGTTCAGACTAGTTTATTTGTCTTATAATAGAAGCTTCAGATACACCTGTGGCTTCACTTTCAGACACTGTTGATTTGGACCCTCCATAGGGCACTATGGCCTGAAGTCACAATTACCATTTCAGTCTCCGTTTCCCACTCCTTTAGAAAGCAAATAGTACTTTAAGGTTGATTGAGATCATTCAGAAAGATTCCCTGCCATGGAATGCTCCAACATTAAGTATTTTATAGTACATTGGAATGACTTCAAGTGTTAGCATCACCATAACTACTGAAAAGCAAGTTTCCACAGCTCCAAAGTATTTGCTAAAATAGATTCATCCACGCTACTGTTTTACACACGTTTCCTTGAGATCTTCATTATTTTTAGATCCTTTTCCTACTTTCAGTAAGTAATAAAAATATGTAGGAATGCTGAATGAACAGAGCCTTGCACACAACACTGCTAAACTCTTAATTTCTCATCCTTTTGTTGTTTTAAAAGGAGTCTCTGGTATAGTCCTCTTTATCTTTCTGTCTCTTCCTCCAGTATTTTATTGCACATTTTTTGTGGGTGTTTATGTTTATTTATTTTAGAAGCAAGCTTTCAACATGCAGGCAAAATTACACAAACTGAAGTTCCTACTCAACTAAAAAATACATACCAGAACTTCAGAGAGCAACTTAACATGCCCTATTATAATATTTCATCTCAAATCCTTTTTGTATCATTACAGCATTTCACCAACTTTTCACAGCTGCTTGCACCTCAAGCAAGGTGTGAAAAATTTTTCCCCAGAGAGCAAGCTACTATTATTAGTGCTTATCCATTTTCAGTTTTTAACATCACCATTCCCTGCAATCAATTTTAGTAATTAAGGCATGTTCAGCTACTAGTTTTTTAAGACCTAAAAGCACACTGGCTCTCTGTGAAGGCAATAGCTGATAACATTGTCATTTTTTCACAG